TGAAGGCCCTGGAGGGCGAAATGGCATGCCCATGCAGACATTATTGTGAACAGTCCACCAATGCAATGAGTGCCGGGCAGATGCTGGTGGAAGTAATATGCATTGCTGTCTATGGCGGAGAGTCGAATACTCTGATGAACCACACCTGGAACGGTCGGAAGGGCAGCAGGGCAAATGGTGTTACAGCAGTTGTGGAAGCCATATGCCACAGCATCGACTGAATGTATTGGCCTGACACAGAAAGAATGATGGATGTGCTGCACAGCTGCTCAGAGATTGCAAAACCGCTCTTCCGGAAGATACGCCTTGCGCTCAACAGAGTTGAGACGCGCACCGATTAAATGAATATCTTGCGTCGGTTCGAGGTGAGACTTTTGCACATTGACAATGAGGCCGAGATTCTGCAGTAAAGAGAGTGTGAAGTCCAGATGTTGCAGGAGCTGTGAGCGAGACGCCCCAATGACCAACCAATCATCGATGTAAGGAAACATCATGTTTCCTTTCACTCGTAAGTGAGCCGCCAACACTGCCATGACCTTGGTAAAGACCCGAGGTGCAGTGCAGATCCCAAAGGGGAGGACTCTGAAAGAATATGCCTTGTCGCCTATTTTGAAGGACAAACACTCATGGTGGCATGGTGCAATGGCTACGTGGAAGTAGGCATCTTTCAAATCTATCATGCTGAACCACGGCCCACAAGGATGAAGTGGCAAGATGGTCTGGAGAGTCACCATGCAAAACTTGCGTGGTCAGATGTACTGGTTAAGACCACGGAGATCCAAAATAGGCCTTTGGTCCCCATCCTTCTTAGGGACTAAGAAATAGGTGGAGAAAAAAGCAGAAGAATACTGAGAAGGTATCAAGCAGCACAATTGCCCCTTTCTGAAGGAGGGTGCGAACCTCATCCAAAAGGACATCAGAAGGAGGCGACGTAGTTCTAACAAAGCCGAGGCATGGAGGACTTTCAAATTGAATAGAGTAACCATGGCGAACCACATCAAGCACCCACCTATTGGTGGTGATAGATTTCCATGCCTCGTAGAAGCCAGCCAAACACGTGTCGAAGCAAACAAGCGGTGTTGGTTGAGAAAAAAGTTGAAGTGAAGGCACCCTGTGAGGAAGTGAAGGGGATACAGGTGGAAAAAGGGGAGGGGATATGTCGCTAACACCGATGCTTGCCCTTGGTTTGAAGCTTCCCCTTAGCCTGCTGACGTGACGAAGACTGCGTCTGCTGCTTTGGTGAGCGTGGAGCTCTCTGCTGGCTAGAAGTACATGATGAAGATGGATAAGTTCTCCGAGTGGACGAAGAGGACTGCTGGCCTCTAGACCGAGAGCGGTAAGAGGGCCATGTGAAGGCCTGCCTCACTTTTTGAGACTCCTTCAAGTTAGTATCCATCCCAGGATTGAACAATCCATCATCATGAGCAGGCATGTCCTCTGCTATCACCTTGCCTTCCTCAGAGAGCATTGAGGTACACAGCCATGTATGTCTTCTGACTGACGTGGCAAGGGAGAACAGTTTTCCTGCTGTGTCAGCAGTGTGCTGAGGCATGTCCTTGCCTCGTAGTACATGTGAGCATGAGAGCTTCATGATGGTAAGCCTTGGCTATGCTCTCCTGAGGGGAGGGAAGCAGATCCAGGTATGGCCCAATCCTGTTCCACAAAAAAGCATTGTAGAAGGACATGTATGCCCCATAATGCACCATATGAGCCGTCAGGCTGGCACTGGTGTAGGCCTTCTTCCCCATTGCATCCAGCTTCTTGCCCTCCTTATCTGGAGGAGTGGGCTGAGTCTTATGGGAACACTTGCACTTAGCCACGTTCACCACCACAGTGTTAGGCTTGGGCGGCCATGCTACCCAATCTGCAGATGTGAGATCAATGCAGTAGCATGCGTCCCATCTCCTAGAAACCGCTGGCACCGCTGATGGGGCCTGATCAGGTTTCTTAGTAAGCTGGAGCAAGTATGGGAGAGCTGGTAAGGTTGTAGAAGCCAATGGCTGCTGAACCTGCTCATCAGGAGGAAACATAGGATCCTCAACAAGCTGGCATCTTTTTGGTGTAGAGAGATTCAGGGCCTTAGACATATGGATCATAAGGGCCAAAAAGCCTGAGGCATCTTCTGGAGTTATTGATGCCGAGGAATCCACAGGCTCTAGAGGCTTAGCTTCCTGCACTGAGGAGCCTGATTTAGAAGCAGAAGCCATATCGCGCTCTGGTTCTGGGGGTGCTGTAGCCACATGCCGTTGCCCAATGTGGTGCAATGGCAGCAGGTAGGAGAGCATGGAGGCATCAAGGAGGTAGAAGTGCGTGGCTCTTGCACAGTAGCAAGGTAATAAGGCCTCCCACCAGGAGTATAGCGCACGTAGTCTTGGGCATAAGAGTGACGACGGTGCAGTCTCCCTGTGACTCATGGTGGCGAGATGGAGAGGGAGAGTGTCCATATGGTCCTGAACTGTCACCACGGAAAGACCAAGATGGCTGTGCTGGTGAGGAGCTCCTAGGTCTAGAGCGCCAGCTGCTTCTGGAGACCAAGGAACGACGTGAGGGTGATCTGCCGCTTGTTTGGCACCACTCCTGCCTCGGCTACCCAGCCTGAATAGGGAAGGGCTGCTAGAGGCTCAGCTGAGGATCTGAGAGGCTAAGTGCAAACTCTTCGGCCCCAGCAGACACAGCCGCAGAAGATGGTGGATGAAGCGCCTGCTGCAGCATGAACTGCGGAGGGGAGAGTGAAGCCCCACCTCCACTTCCGGCCGAAGCCAGAAGTACATGTTGCGCCTGCCCCAGCTGCTCTTGCGGAGGAGTCTGGGGCGGTGAGGAAAGTAGCGGCGGCTGCGAAGCCTGCTCCAAAGGAGGAGGCTGGATTGGCAGTGGCAGGAGAGGCTGTTCAGGCATCAAGAAATGGCGGCAGGGACGGATGGTGAGAACGGCGCATCTTCTCCTTTTCTCCCTTCTTCCCTGGTGAGGGAGTTCTCTCTCCAGAGCCTTTCTGCTTGGCTGGAACAGAGGCTCGGTGAGCACTATCTGCAAGGGTCCAGAAGGCTCTGACGCTGCCTGGCGTCCATCAGAGGAGGAATTAGTTAAAAGAGCCTTCTCACAGAGTAGGGCTTTGAGCTGCCTCTCCCGGCTCTTCCTTGCCTGCGGGGTAAAAGCCTTGCAGATAAAACAGGAGTTTGCTGAATGCATTTCTCCCAAACACATAAGGCACATAGTATTGCCATCTGTAACGGGGAGCTTTTCCCCACAAGAAATACATTTCTTAGAAACTGCAATAGAAGACATAACCAAGTTTAAGGCTTAGGCAATAATAGTTGACAAACTAGTCCGAAGTCAGGGTTGAGAAGTCAGGAAAGTCCAATAACACTCCAAAGTCAAAAGGCAAGTTTGAAGAGCGGTTCCTAAGAGCTGCTGCTAAGGCAGCTAGAAAAAAGGAACTGGACCTAACAGCCCCTCCTACAGCATATATGCCTCATGGGGAGAGTGGCGGGGCTGCAGCCACAAGCCTTGTCACCTTTTCAGAGGTTTCCAGTGATTGCTGCACAGGTGTATCAACTATCATATGTGCTTATTTTACCAGACACCAGGAAGGAGAAACCTAAGTGTGAGAGAAGCCTTGTGTGCGAAAGCTCCAGTGTGAAGGCTGCTGAGTGTAAAGTTACTATGTATTTGTTTATTTCTGCTATGGAAACCCAGTTCTTGTAAATAGTGTAACCATATTATTTTACTACAAAGAAAAACCTCCTATGGAAGAGATAACATTGGTCTCTGTGTTTTTGTTCTTTTTATCACTTTGGGCTATTGGTGCTGGGTCACACTGTTGCTGATAACACTGTTCTACAAATTTTCAGTTTTTCTCAGTTACGGAAACGAAATGTGCCGTTTCTTAATAAATTTAACATGCTGAATTCAAATATAATAATTAAATGTGTTAATTGGCTCTGGTTTTTATGCAACAGCTATTTCAATTTTCTCCACAATAGGTAATTCGTTAATATTATGATAATGCGCCTAACCTTACTGCATGTATATAAACCGTGAATATTTACTAAATTTTAGTCAAATTATATTGCCAATAGTTTATACATGAGAAATATTTATTTAATTAGTCTATTGTTTATGTTTGTGCAGCAAGAAACTATATTAGTAGGCCTAATGCAGTTGAAAAGTCTGAAAGTTTAAATGTCGCTTTAATCGTGACTTTAGTTTATATCCTGTTTGCTTCTCTTGACTTTTCTTTTGTATTCAAGGAAAGGATTGTCTCTTACAATGCTCCAGCAGTAGTCTGACAGCATTGACGGAGTCCATTTACCTTGATATCTTTTTTCCATAGTGCTTTATTTACACACGTACGAGGCATAACTACAGTAAAAAGAACAATGTAAAACGATGTTTAACAATACTGTCTCAGTCTTCAACTGACTGACCCTCACCGTTCAAAAGCCTGACCTTATATAGGGCTTTCTGGCTTTTGCACACGGCACTAATACTGGGTCATCAAACTTTCTAGAGTATTCTAGAATCTTCCATAGTGTAAGTCGCAACATGCATTTTTTCAACCATACGTAATCACGTGATTGCTTATATCATAAAAACTAGAGCCAATATACATTTTTAAATGTCATTTTCGTTTTCAGCACCCCAAAATCATAAAAGAACAACTATTTTCAGGCCCGCAACTTTTTCTCCGTTGAATAGTGTAAGTTACTCTGCTGTACATTTATGAGGAGGGTCCTTTGTTATTAAGCCCACTCACCCAGAAATCACCATCACTGAGAAAAAGGTGATCACTTAAGGAACTACAGGAGTTCTGTGCAACTCAAAGGCCTGCTATTCTACCAAAGCAACAGGCATGGCTACTACTTGCCTTGTTAGCCAGTCTGCCTCACTTTGGGCCGCTTGGAATAGAAATAAATGCTGCCCATTCTGGAGGGGCCTTGATTGTCATGTGGCATATTGTGAGCCACAGCTCCAGTTCCAGAGCAGATAAATTGGCCACCTACTTGTGAAAGAGGCAGGTGCCCACAGGGTTGGTCCATGCGCCATCGCGCTTCTCGGCCTCCGTGGCAAAGCCAAAGGAGACAATGGGCCCCGTGTCGTCATCTGTGTCGCCGTAGGACACAATCTCAATCTCCCAGTAGAAGGATGGCGCCTTGGAAGGGGAACACAGAGACAAATTACCCAGGAAGAAAAGACGCTTAAAGCACTTCCAAAGGAGAGACCTAGTTCTGCGTGAAGCTGGTTCTGTGCGCGTCACTTGAGGGTTCTCACCTGGACTGGAACGGGGGATGTGGCGTAAATGAAGGTGCCCCGGGGCAGCCCTCCGCCTGCGCTGGGGTCTGCCAGGAAGGTCACAGCTGTAAGGTGAGAGGAGAACATGCAGGCGCGCACTGGTGGGAAGACGCGAGAAGGGCTCCAGGTGATTTCCTTGGGCTGAACCAAGAGGAGACGGGTCTGCATTTAATTATATACAACTGCATTGTGTAAACTAGACTTTATGCTCAAAGAACGTAGAAGACAGTCATGAAGGTAGAAAGGCAAAAGTGGGTGACTGTAGGTTGCAATGGCTTGGACACCTGCCTTCCTCAGACCCAAGAGCCATGTGAGGAGGAGGAGAGGTGGCACATGAGGCCCTTTCCGAGATATTTACCTGCCTTCGGTCGGCCTGGAGTGGCGGCGGCGGAGGACGCGCACTGTCACGGTACAGCATCCTCAGCCGCTCACACTGCACTTCCACAACAAGGAGTCGCTCTCCTGGAAAATTAGAAAGAAGACCAGCAATTATGTGCCTGTCAAAGACTCTGATCCCAGTGGTGATAAGGACTTCACAGATGTTTTATGCATGTATCTGCGATAGCAGGACAACCCAAGTGCTCCTGTTCTCGTCTGATAGTTGACACACGCTGCTTCAGCTGTTTATAAGGTTCCTTTTTATCCTTCAAGGAGTTCCGAAGGGCCTTTGCTGGTCTGCTCCCCCACTTGCTGTTACCAAGAGAGCAGATATGCTCAGAGCTATTTTGAAAACCAAACGGTATCTAGCCTGCTTGCTGTGTCTTGCCTGAAGCCTTCCTGTGCATAAGCCCTGGCAATGATCCCAGCGCAAAAGAAGAGGGTCTTCTTACCTGGGCTGCACTCCTGGGCCACGAGGTTCAGAACTTCCACAGCAGCCGGACATTGCTGGATGAACTCCTCACAGAAGGAACTGTCCTCCAACAACTGGGCCATCACCAGGCATGCTCTGCCGAGGTCGAGGAGGGGAAAATAGGAGACAAAAGTGGGACACCAGTTGAACGTTCTTGCCAAGACCAGGCATTGCACAGACTGCATTGCATGGGAAGACATATTAGGAAAGGGAGGGCCTGCCTTTGACGGAGGCGGCTGGTTTGAGCTGCTCTTTAGCTCTCTGGGAGAAAATCCTGGAAGAATGTCTTTCCAGGAAATAGGAAATGTTCTTCTAAGGCACCCAAGTCCAGCTCATTTACCATCATCATCATCATCATCATCATCATCATCATCATCATCATCATCATCAGGGTATTGTGTGGTTTCTGGGCTATATGGCCGTTTGGCCTGCATCAGAGGATCCAGATGTCAGTCACAGATGCAGGTGAAACATCAGAAGGATATGCTGCTAGAACACATTGGCCATACAGCCTGGAAACCACACAACACCCCAGTGATTCCAGCCGTGAAAGCCTTCAACAATACATCATCATCATCATCATCATCATCATTATAATTATTATGTTTTACATTATTTACAAGGTGCTGCGGTGCTTCAGCCACAACACTTTCATTCCAATTCTTCTGCAAGAGTACCTCTCTCTGTTGGTCAAGGAATCCTTATTTTACCATCGCTAGCTCAAAAACTAACTGCTCAGGACAAAGTCCCTCTCCAACCCGCAACAGCTCCTTTCAGTTTAGCCAAACAACTTATCCACTAAATATATTGGGTATATATCCGTTGAGGATGAAGATAGATCAGCATCCTTCTTCTCACTTCCCCCCATCCCCAAGCCCATGTAAAAGCTCCCCCCCCCCCTTCCCGGCTACTCACCTGGTTCGAATTTCAGCCAGGAGTCGGACCACTGCCATTACTGGGGTTGAGCCATCTCCTGTTGCAGGAAGTGAGGTATGAATAGAGAGACTCCCCTCTTGAGGAAGCAACATGGACTGGACTGCCTGTACTACCTTCTCAGTAATGGACAGTTTATGGAGAGGCAATGCCTGATGGTAGTGGAGGGGGCACGGTAAAAAGTTAAATTCAAGGCGTTAGTTTCTAGGAAATGAGGGAATTACCTGGAGTTACATAGACTCATTTTCAACATTAGCACAAAACACAGACTGCATTCACAGTGACAAGCTGCGTTGGAACAGCTCAGACCACCTCGCGTCCCCCATGGTTTACTTTACACATTACTCCCAAAGGGCTTTTGAGCTGCCTTTTTAAAATAAATAAAAAAACACTGAGATATTCAAATTTTAGAAAAACCGACCGACGGGGTCCTTTGACCAGTCACACTGCAATTCAACTGGCATCACAACATTCACTATGACACTCAGTGTTGGATGTTAAAATGACCTTACCTCTGATCTTGGAACACAGAGCCTAGATAATGGGATAGTTAAAGTGTCTGATGCTTGGGAGGTCTTTCTACAGTCTATACTGGCAGGTGGGAATTTGACCGTGGCTATACCTTCCTGTTCATTAATCGAGGCAACCACTCCAACGCTTCCTGCAATGCCCCTCCCCAAAACCTAGAGAAAGAAAGACAAGAAAACAGAAGATGTTTATGAAGGGGGTTACATTTTCCAAAGAGACCCCCAAAGGGCACCCAGTCCACCCCCTTCAGATAAGGAAAAGTTTCATGAGAACCACCACTCCTCCTTAATGTTCCTCCAGCAACAGCAAGAATATCCCTGTGGGAAGCAAAATCAGGCAATCCCAACTGGGTGGCTCCCCACGAGGGTCTTCCTCCAGGGGCAAACCAAAAATGGGCAACATGGAAGTCCGTGAAAAGAGTCAGAAGTGGCGTTGGCAGATCAAAAGACAACCTGGCAAAATGGCACTACCTAAAAGAATCCTCCACCTTGTGCATACCTTCTGTATGCTTGCCCACAATGCCCTGCCTCATGCACAGAGGAAGAACTGCTTAAAGCTACAGACAATACAGCTACTGTTGCCCATTTTTGGTCTAAAACTATTTAGCTGCTTGTTTTCCCTTTATTTTATCAGTTCTAAACTTATTTATTTATGCAATGCTTTTGAGCAAGAGAGAAATTCCTAATTGCCTATTGCAGAGGAAAAAAGGAACTGGGCGGCAGTTCCTCCCATTGGCTGTACAGTAGAGTCTCACTTATCCAACATAAACGGGCCGGCAGAACGTTGGATAAGCAAAAATGTTGGATAATAAGGAGGGATTAAGGAAAAACTTATTACGTTATGATTTTAACGTTATGATTTGCCAATTACGCGCCAAAAACTATGTTTGAAATCCAAAACACCTGGAAGACCAGAGTTGGGAACACACTCCTATACTGTACATTAAGCATCTCTAGAATCCCATATTGAGCATAGAGGAGTGGCAACACTGGAAAATCAGAGTTTACTAAACACTAATATTGGCAGAATGTCTCATCTGGAGCTGGGTGGCTCTCTATTGGGAGGGCTTGGTTTGTGCCTTCCAGCCTAGCAGAATGGGGCTGGACTGGAAAGCCTCTTAAGGGAGGGGATCTCTTGTGTTTCTAGGATTGGGTTAGAAGAGAAGGAGGAGGAGGAGAAGACCAGAAGTGCAAGTTGCGGCAAGGTTGTCAGAGGTAAAAGTGGGAGGAGGAGGAGGAGGAGGAGGAGGAAGAGAGAGCGAGTGGGGGAGGAAAAGGAAGGGAGAAGAGAGAGAGAGAGGATCTGGAGCAAAGTGTGCGTGTGTGTGTGCGCAGGAAGAAAGGGGGGATCCTCTCCCCCCTTTCCTTCTTTTCAGCCATGAGCCCTTTCCCCTCCTCTATCTGGAAACAAGGTTGGGTTGGAGATAAGTCTCCAAAGCAGGAGAGCAAGGCTCTGCCTGCACTAAGAACAGAGAGAGAGACGAGAACCATCGAGTTTCCTTTTTCCCCTCCCCTTCCCTTCTTTTTCCCCCTTCCATCCCTCTTTCTCTTTTGATTTACTCCCTTTCCCTCCCTTCAGTGCTTTCCTCCCCCTTCTTCTCCTGCATGGAAAAGAAAGTTGCTCTCAAGAGCACATATCAAAGGGTGCAATGTTTCCAATCGTCCACATGATGGCGTTGGTTAACATGGAGTGTTAGATGAGCGGCCGCTAGGATAACTGGAACTCTACTGTATATGCTACAAGGGGAGAGTGGGCGGAGCTTCTGCCAAAATGTATCTCTTAAGAGCTTCTGGAGATGTGTTATTGTTATAAACCACCTTGAGGGCACTTCTGGAGGAGGTGCTCAAAGGCAGGATGTAAATATCTTTATAAATAAATACTTAAATAAAAAATGTAGGGAAAAGGAAAAAATTGGAAAACTCTGAGTTAAAGGAAGGGGGAAAGGAGAAGCATTTGCTGCTGGTCACCTGAACTTCAGAGCCAATTTTGATGGTCTCCTTGAAGCCGCCCAGCGCACACAGAGCCGCCACTGCCTGGCGGGCAATCCGCTGGAGCTTGGCCAGTTTCCTCCCGCTGCTGCTGCCATTCTCCAGGATGCTCTCAGCATATTTACCCAGCTGTGGGATATACATGAGCGCACGGGACAGGACCTACAGAGGGAAGCGACACAGATACTTATTTATTTATTTTGATTTGCTCTATTTGTATACCGCCCCTCTCAGCCCACAGGCAACTCAAGGTGGTTTACAGAGGCAACAATTCAATGCCCAACAACAGCATAAAACATTAAAAACATTGACATATAATATAAAACCATAACAAGATAAATAAAAACATAAATAATATGTGTCTCTTAATTAAAAACGTCCAAAATCATCATCCAACCGTTCCATATTCCTATGTCTGTTACACTGCATTGTCAAACACTTGCTCAAACAGCCAAGTTTTAACTTTTCTCCAGAATGCTAAAAGGGAGGGGGCCGCTCTAATGTCCCTAGGAAGGGCATTCCATAGCCGAGGGGCCACTACTGAGAAGGCTCTGTCTCTCGTCCCCGCCGGACGTGTTTGTGACACTGGTGGGAATGAGAGCAGGGCCTCCCCAGTCGATCTTAAAGATACGAGCTGTAAAGCAGATGATGACAACTGCGGAGCACAACTAACTTCAACGGAGACACAGCTCAGCAGCCGGCGAACATGGAGATGAACTTACTTAATTTCTGACCTTGTTTTCAGAAGATGGTAGTGATTTACAGTCAAATGTGGACATCATCATATATACGAGGGAGGTTCAAAAAGTAATGCCTCCATCATTCTTAACTTTTCTTTCTTTCCCAGCTACTGGACTATCTCTGCATTATATGATAGAGGTAATCTTATTCTACTGATAGAGCCTTTTCTTTTTTCCAATTGACTGATTAGAACCATGAATCTGAAGCTCAAAGAAAGAGTCGTCATTGAATTTCTGGCCAAAGAAGGTTGTTCCCCCAAGGAAATCCATCATCATTTCAAGAATGTTTATGATTTGGCCCCTTCTGACTTTGACCTGTTTGGATCTCTGAAAGACAATCTACGAGGTTTCAGATTCAATGACCTGAATGACATTCAAACAGCTTTAAAATCATGAAGCAAAACCCTGAATTTTTCCAAAATGGATTGATGCCTGGGTTAAACAATGGCGCAAATGGATATAAATTGGTAGGTTACTCACCTGTAACCATCTTTCTTCGAGTGGTCCTCTGTGAATCCACACATATGGAGTATCTGCGCCTGCGCAGGCTCCAACGGAAAACTTCCCAAGTTGAAACTTTTAAGTTTTGGCGGTAACCCTGCCCAGCCGCCCAGCAGGGCATAAAAGGCGCCCCGCGCACACTCCCGGTAGTTCCTACGCCACATTAGCGAGGAAAAAGGGGAGGTTTGAAGAGGGGACGGCCGGGCGGGTTTGTGTGGATTCACAGAGGACCACTCGAAGAAAGATGGTTAAAGGTGAGTAACCTACCATTTTTCTTCATGGCCTCTGTGAATGCACACATATGGAGAGCTAGCAAGCTAAGGTCCTGGATGGTGGGAACAAACCGACACCAAGTTGAGGGCCAAACATATGTTTATTAACAAATTAACACATACATGTTATGAAGAAGTACTGTCAAGCAGTGTGTCATCAAGGTATTTTGCATTTTCAAAAGAAAAAAACATAACACGAGCATCAGTATAGCCCTATAACCAAAAGGCACAGTAAGCCTGAAAGGCTTTCGAGGTCAAATTTATTTATTTATTTATTATTTGCACTTGTTAACCGCCACTCTCAGCCCGAGGGCGACTCGTGGCGGTGTACAGAACATAGAAAAGACAACAATTTACAATGCATCAAGACCATGACATAACATCTTACTAATACAACAACTAATTAAACTAAAAATCCGCATTCGTCTAGTTTGGGGTCATAATCAATCTCATAGTCATAGTACATTCCGGTGGTCATTCCAAAAACGTAGCACTAGTTGAAGGCCTTTTCGAAGAGCCAGGTTTTCAGGCCCTTGCGGAAGGCCATGAGGGAAGGCGCCTGTCTGATTTCAGCAGGGAGGGAGTTCCACAGCCGGGGGGCCACCACCGAGAAGGCCCGCTCTCTCGTCCCCGCCAGGCGTGCCTGTGAGGCAGGCGGGACCGAGAGAAGGGCCTCCCCAGATGATCTCAAGGTCCTCGTGGGCTCGTAGGCCGAGATGCGGTCTGCAAGGTATTTTGGGCCGGAACCGTTTAGGGCTTTGTAGGATAACACCAGCACCTTAAATTGGGCCCGGTAGCAAATCGGCAGCCAGTGGAGCTGGGACAGCAGGGGCGTTGTATGCTCTCTGCGTCCTGCTCAGTTAACAACATGGCTGCCGCGCGCTGGACTAGCTGGAGCTTCCGGGCCGTCTTCAAGGGCAGCCCCACGTAGAGAGCGTTGCAGTAGTCAAGGCGGGATGTGACCAAAGCGTGTACCACCGTGGCCAAGTCAGACTTCCCAAGATACGGGCGCAGCTGGCGCACGAGCCGAAGCTGTGCAAATGCTCCCCTGGTCACCGCTGAAACCTGGGGATCCAGGCTCAACGATGAGTCCAGGGTCACACCCAAGCTGCGAACCTGCGCCTTCAAGGGGAGTGCGACCCCGTCCAGCACAGGCTGTAACCCTATACCCTGCTCGGCCTTGCGACTGACCAGGAGTACCTCTGTCTTGTCTGGATTTAATTTCAGTTTGTTCGCCCTCATCCAGACCGTCACAGCAGCCAGGCACCGGTTCAGGACTTCGACAGCCTCCTTAGTAGCAGGTGGAAAGGAGTGACAGAGTTGGACGTCATCTGCGTACAGGTGACACCGCACCCCGAAACTCCGGATGATCTCACCCAGCGGCTTCATGTAGATGTTAAACAGCATGGGGGACAGAATGGAACCCTGAGGAACACCACAGGCTCGCTGGAATCTTGCCTTCCCGAAGGGAGGCATTAACCACCACCGTTACCCACTCAGCCAATCCCCCTCTGGCCTCTTTCAGAAGCCAGGATGGGCAGGGGTCTAGGATGGACGTAGTGGGCCTCATTCCTCCAAGTATCTTGTCCACATCCTCGGGTTTCACAACTGAAAAGAATCCATCAAAATAGGACAAGCAGGTGCTTGTGTCACATCCACAGAGACTGCATTTAACGTGGCGTCCAGCTCAGAACGGATCAAAGCGACTTTGTCTGCAAAGAACCGAGCAAATGCTTCACAGCGCGTGGCCGAATTGTCAGGGCTCCCACCTGAGGTAGGGGGAGTTAAAAGGCCTCTGACAATCCGAAACAACTCCGCCGGACGGTTTTTTGCAGACGCAATAGTGGCCGCAAAGAAAGTTTTCTTTGCGGCTTTTATTGCCGCGGCATATGCCCTTAGAAAGGACACAAACCGTGTTCGATTTGGCTCGCTTGGGTCCGAACGCCACACGCTCTCTAGTTCCCTCTTCCTTCGCTTCATCGCTGCCAGCTCCTCAGTGAACCAAGGAGCTGGTTTAGCTCGGTTACTTGAGAGGGGACGTTCCGGAGCGATCCTGTCAATTGCCCTGGTCATCTCCCCATTCCAGAGAGCGACCAAGGCCTCGACATGGTCACCTACCGAGGTAGCGGGGAAATCCCCAAGAGCCGTCAGGAATCCATTCGGATCCATAAGCCTCCTGGGGCGGACCATCTTAATGGGTCCTCCACCTTTGCGGAGGTTAGGGGGCGCAGTGAGCCTAAATCTGATCAGGAAGTGGTCGGTCCATGGCAACGGAGAGATGGACAACTCCTCCACACCGCCACCCTGCTCCCATCCCTGGCAGAAAACCAAGTCCAATGTGTGTCCAGCACAATGGTCATCTCAAAGAGAAACAAACCCCCACAAGGCCTGACCAAATTAGCAGAAGCTGGTTGCAAAAACCTGAGTACATACATCTAGCCACCTGGCTCGAGGCTAGAGGCCAGGAGGGCCGAAATAACAAGTACAAATGCATTGCATAAACATGTGCAATTAAACAACAGCGAGTTAGCATGTGAGGTAAATACGGTACCCACAGGACATATATTAAACTTTGTTGCATATAAACACAGTAGAAACATGAGAAGACAACAATCGAGGAGCAAGGTATACACACAGAAATAGTGAATCCTTGGCAAGCTTAAGGTGGGCAGGCAGTCAGAATTGATCTGCCGAAAAAAGTGTCCTTCCGAGACTGGGTGTTTAATCGGTTATGTGACACAAAAGTCATAGGAGTGGACCAAATGGCCGCTTTGAAAATCAAGTCAATGGGGACACCTTTCAGGAAGGCAGTTGTCGCAGCCATGCCCCTTGTCCATCTCGGCCGGATCGAGGCTGGAGGGGTCTTTTGAGCAAGTTCGTAACACAGTTCAATGGCTGCCCCAATCCATCGGGAGAGTCGCTGCGACGATATTGGCAATCCAATTTTGTCCGGCACATAGGCCACAAACAGCCTAGGCGACTTACGGAGAGCGGCAGTTCTCTGTCTAAAGAACAATAAGGCCCTTCGAACATCAAGGGAATGAAGTCTCTTCTCCGTCGGGGAGGACGGGTGTTGGAAAAAGGATGGTAAAACAATGTACTCATTGACATGGAATGGAGATATTACCTTCGGTAAGGTGATATCAGTTCTGAGGACTACATGATCAGCATGGAACAACAAATAAGGTTCATCTATTCGGAGAGCTGCCAACTCCGATGGCCTTCGGGCCGACGTGATGGCCACCAAGAAAGCCAACTTTCCGCTGTGAGTCGCCTTCGGGCTGAGAACAGCGGTATATAAGTAAGGTAAATAAACTTCCAGGAAAGCAACCTCAAATCAGTCGTGTCTAATAGTTCAAAGGGAGGGCCCACCAGTTGGGCCAAAACCAGGTCAAGACTCCATCCCGAGGTGGGAGGGTGGACTGGAGGGTGAAGATTGGTATATCTTCTCAGAAAGTTCTTAATAAGGTGATTCTGGAACAAGGAGGGCGAACCCAGCGTCTGGAGGTACCAAGAAATAGCTGCAACATACGACTTCAAAGACGACAAAGCCAGGTTTTGGGTAGCAAGGGACAAAAGGAAGTCCAAGATGGTCGGTACCGATGGAGGCATCTCTGTTCGGGATCGGTCCCGAAGGAAGGTGTGGAGACGGGCGATATGGTAAGCATATGCTTTCGATGTCGACGGTTTATGTGCAGCTTTGAGGATTGATCGGACGTCCGGAGGAAGGGATGTTATGGAAGGATCCTCCAGGCTGTCAAGTGGAGGGATGGAATGTCTGCTCTCTGGAGAGTAGGTCTGGCCTGGGATGGAGATGGAATGTTCGACCGTTGGCGAGTCGAAGAAGAGCTGGAAACCATACTTGTCTCGGCCACTCCGGCGCGATGAGTATACAATTGGCTTGTGTTAGCTCGATCTTCTCGATCACCCGAAGGAGTAACGTGATCGGAGGGAAGAGGTAGAGGAAGTCGGTTGACCAGTCGAGGAGAAAGGCGTCTCCAGGCATCCTCTGTGGTCTTGGGGAAGACGAGCTCCGAACAGTGGGAGATGGGCGTTCTCCGGAGAAGTGAACAGATCGATCGACGGTTGGCCCCACATGTCGAAGATGTTTTGGACTTCAACGGGATCGAGTCTCCATTCGTGTGACGTCAATGTCGAGCGGCTCAACGAGTCGGCCTGGAGACGAAGAGCAGATGGGACTATCGAATGTTGACAACACCATTCCCAGATCTCGATGGAAAGCTTGAGGAGTTTCCTGGATCCTGTTCCTCCCTGTTTGTTCAGGTGTACATTGCTACCATATCGTCTGTTTGGATTTGGACCGTCTGGCTCTGTAGAAGGGGAAGGAACGCTCTGAGAGCCTTGAAGATGGCTAAAAGTTCGAGGTAATTTATGTGATGACCCATCTCCTGCGTCGACCAGACATCCTGTATGGAGAATCGACCCGTGTGAGCGCCCCAGGCGAAGGTCGATGAGTCTGTTGTAAGGACGACCGACAGCTGCCGAGGATGGAAAGGAAGTCCAACACAGACATTTTTGTGGTTCATCCACCAATTCAAGGACTGTCGCACTTTTACCGGCATCGTCAATACTTTGAGGTCGGAGTCTCGTTGGGGGTTGAAATTGTCGAGAAACCACCTCTGGAGAGGGTGCATTTTCAGTCTGGCTAATGGTGTGACCATTACCGTTGAGGCGATGTGGCCCAGAAGGACTTGAATGTGTTGTGCCCTTATTCTTGTGGAGGCTTTGCAATGGTTGACCTCCCTTTGCAGGGCTAAGTATCTGACTCTTGGCAAGAAGACTGTCACTGACGTGGAGTCGAACTTGGCCCCGATAAACTTTATCGATCTCGTTGGGGTGAGAAGAGACTTCTCAGCATTGAGTTGGAGGCCGAGGTCCTCAAGGAGATTGAGAGTAAAGGTGATTTGTGACCTGAGGAGGTCTGGCGATGTCGAGGCCAGGAGCCAATTGTCCAGGTATGGAAAAACCCGGATTTTCCGTCTTCTTAGGTATGCCGCGACTACTGACATACACTCTGTGAATGTCCTTGGGGCCGTGCCGAGGCCGAATGGAAGAACTCTGAAAGAATAAGTCTGTTGTCCTATTTTGAAGGACAGGAAACATCTGTGGGACTGTCGGATGGACAAATGAAAATAGGCGTCCCTTAAGTCTATCGATGCGAAGTCGTCTCGATACAGCATGGGAGTTATCAACGACACCGTAAGCATTCTGAACTTTGTTAATTGGATGAATTTGTTTAGTGCCCTGAGGTCGAGGATGGGGCGGAGGGAGCCGTCATGCTTCGGTACCGTGAAGTACCTCGAGAAAAAGGCTCGACTGTCCAAATGAGATGGAGATTTTTGGATTGCCCCTTTCTGAAGAAGGGAGTTGACTTCTGCCAGAATTGGTGGTGAAGGGTCTGTCCGGATGACACGGCCCGTGGGAGGCAGTTCTTTGAACTGTAAGGCATAACCGTCTTTGACAACTCGAAGCACCCACGCATCTGATGTGATGCGTCGCTACGCATGGATGAACTTGGCGAGGCTGCCCTATTCTTTCTCGACTGGGCCGTCAGCGCCTGGCAATGTTTGCAGGTCGAAGTGTTATGGCCTTCTCCGAGGCAGCGGGGACACTTCGAGTGTTTGTCTGAGTCAGGAATCTTTCTTGGGCATTGAGTGCAATGCTTGAAGCGTGTTGTGGACATAATTCGGGAACTTTCCGATCGAGCTGTGCGGCGAAAAAACAGGAACTACCGGGAGTGTGCGCGGGGCGCCTTTTATGCCCTGCTGGGCGGCTGGGCGGGGTTACCACCAAAACTTAAAAGTTTCAACTTGGGAAGTTTTCCGTTGGAGCCTGCGCAGGCGCAGATACTCCATATGTGTGCATTCACAGAGGCCACGAAGAAAAACGATGGTGACTATGCTGAACGGTAATTTTGTGTAGAGGACTGTTCAGGCTATGATCTGGAGCATCTTCTGCTGTCAAAAAGTTTTGCCTCCTATGTCATAAAAACGTTCATTCATAACAGTTTTATGACCTAGGAGGCAAAACGTTTTGACCCACCCTCATATTTATTTTTGCATCTCACTCTCGTGTTTTGTTCCAGGTTTTGCAGAAAAGCGATTAAAACATTCATTTCCAATATATACTAATTCCAATTTGTGTCTCTAAGTGCTCACATTGATAGATTCAAGAGAGCAACAGTCACAAACAAGCAGCAGGAAATGGCAAAGGAACTGCCATTCTTGTCTTTCTCCAGGGTTTCTGTCACTGAACAGCAGCTGTCTGTGAGTGAGGATATCATGCAAGACATATGTGGCCAATTGCAAATATCAGCAATAGCATGTTGGTTCCTATATGGTTCCGGCCCAGCGGATCTGTCCGAACGCATCTCCTTGTACATCCCACCTCGGAGTTTAAGCTCTTCTGGGGAGGTACTGCTCTCGGCCCCACCTCTATCACAAGTGAGATTGGTGGGGACGAGGAGCAGGGCCTTCTCGGTGGAACTCACTCCCCGGGGAAATTAGGTCATCGACATCCCTCCTCTCCTTTAGAAGTAAATTAAAAACATGGATTTGGGACCAGGCCTTCGGCTAATCTGGCGGATAGATAAGGGACAAGCGACGACTAGAATTGATGGATTGAACAATGTGGAATTTGAATTTACGGACTCTGAGCTGGTAAACGTTGAGCACTAGATTGTTTTTAGGGATTGTGATGTATAATGGATTGTTTTAATTGTTTTAATTACTCTTTATATGTTTTACTTTTTACCTTGTTGTTGTGCCGGCATCGAATTGTGCCTTTTTGTAAGCCGCCCTGAGTCCCCCCTCGGGGGTTGAGAAGGGCGGGGTAGAAATGTGAGAAATAAATAAATGTTCCTCTTCTTCTGGCTGACATCATAACAGTATCATTTGACACTTACTATAAAGACTCCTAGGTTCTGTTCTGGACCAGTGGCTTTTCAAAACATACATCCCTAGCCTATTGTCCAGCACATGCATGAGCACAGCACCCATACACCCGGTCCTGGCTTACTTTTTCAGCGGTGGTTGTCCAGATCTGAGCCGCGTTGGATTCAGGCGCCATGAGCAGGCTGTGAAGCAAAGCAATCACCTCGGCTGCCATGCTGTTGGCCACGTGGCCACTGATGAACGGCCGCACAGGGTCAGTTCTGTGGAGAAGAGGGGCATTAAATCAGGATTATAAGCATCCTCAATATTGAGGATCTACCATGAGGAGTCTCGGCAATGTCAAGAGTGAAACCAGAGTTCAGAAAATTTACATATTTGGATGAAAACACTTGCTGTATTTCATTGCATAACAATCACACTTTTGATTCCTTGAAAAAAAGGGTTTGACTACTATGCGATGAAAAAATCGCCTGAATCTCTAGTTTCTGGTTTTTTTGTTTTTGTTTTTTTTAAACTGTCTTACCTCTGAGACAGAAAGAGGAGGGAGAATCCAGACTCAAACAAACAGCCCCATTTCTGTTTTGTTTTTTTAACCTGACTTGCCTCAGAGATAGGAGGAAGGAGGAGGAAAGATCCCCCTTCCTTTTTTCTCTGGAGGCAAGGAAGTTTACAACATATGGAGTGGAGCTCTTTGGAGAAAGGAGGGAAGATTGGAGTTCCAGAGTCCCCTATTTCATAGTTTTTAATAATAATAGTACGTTTTAGAAATAATTTTTAACCTGCCCTCTCTCCCCAGGGGAAAATTCAAAGAAGAAGGGAGGGAAGGGAGGGAAGGAAGGAGGGAGGGAAATAGCCTCAAATGGCTCTGCGGCTATTATGTGAGGAACAGAAACATGCCAATTGTGGTGACTTATGATGCACTGACATACGTATCTTGGATGAACTATTCTGGATGTTGTGTCCCTAAATGGTAGCCTTTTAAAACTATGAAGAAGGTACCACTGGGATTTGTGCAGAGCCTTCCTACCTGGCAAGTTCCGAGTTCCGCTCCCTACAAATGGAGGTTTGGGCAGTCTTCTTTTTGTCCCCGGTTGACAGGCCGCTGGTGCTCTCTGGGCTGGCTGTTTCGACAGGGGGGCCCACGCTAACAATCAGCCCCGACTGGGCCCACTTGGTGGCCTTACGTAAAGCTGCCGCTGCCTCTTCCGTAATCACCTCACAGCAGCCACTCTGTGGGAGACACAGCATCTTTGTAACTCGCTCTATCTTTGCACTAACTGACCAACACCTGTCAGGACCCAGTTTCCAGGGCCTTGGTTTTGGTGCCAGGAACCAGGGTTCTGATGTAGGACACTGATGAGGCACCTGCGGCTGCTGACCCTGAAAGAATACGGCTAGCGGTTTGGGCGGGTGAATTACGCAGAGGTTTTGTGCTTGGCGGGAGAGACATTTTTGAACGAGGAGGAGGGTATATAAGGGAGTGCCAGCCGGCGCCAGGCAATCTCGGCTTTTTTAATGTCTTTGTTTCCAGCAGTAAAGTTTCTCTTTGATACCAGAGCATGGTCCTGTGTTTTCATTGGGAGCAGTCGCTCTGAGCTGACAAACACCATTACCCCAATGGACTAGAATCCTCTTTTCCAGCTCTGCAAATTAAAGGATTGCAAGTAAGCCAATTTCTTAGATTTACTCTTTGAGACAAGGATTAAGTCAGGGATGTCAAATTCATTTTCTCCGAGGGCCACATCTGCCTTGTAGGCCCAAAGGGCGATTGAATCCATGAATGGAAAAACCATGGAGACTGAGAGAGGACCAAATATAATTTCTTTTACATAGTAGTTGGTGCTCTTTAGTTTTTTACCTAATTTGGGACCCCAGATGTTACTGAGTGGTAACTCCCATCACTGTTGACTAATTATCCGCCATGTGGACTGGGGATCATGGGAATGGTATCCCACCAGCCCTTGTGGCTCTGAAATTGGGGGAAGGTTACAGGACATTTTAAAGTTAGGCATCTTATCCATAAGCCTTGTATCTAAATCCAAAAGCCACTCTCCTGACAGAACAGAACAAACTGCAGCCTCCCGGAGGTTATTCTATCACAACTCCCACCAGCTCTAATGATGAGGAATACAGGAGTTGCACTCCAGCATCTATCTGGACCACATTGACATGGCAGGCTGGATTCAGACCATGGGCCGTGAGTTCAACACATGTGGACTACAACCTCTTTTCCAGTTCTGCAAATCTAAAAAAAAGTGCCTAAATAACTCAACTTTTTAACATTTACTCTTTGAGACAAGGATTAAGCCTCTTTTCCTAAAGTTTCTGTTTATTAGTCCCTTACTTTGGTCATGTCTCGATCCATCTTCACCACTTTCTCCATATTTGCTCCTGTTCCGAGGCGAAATGGACGACCTTCTGAGCTACTACAAAAGGGAAGGGTAACACACGGTAAGGACAGAGCTCCCGCAGAAAGACACCGGCATTGAATTTCACTGAGGGCAAGTTCCCTACCTCAGCAGGGGCTGGAGGACTTCATGAGAGGACTGATCTTCCCGCTTATGAATAAAGATGGAGAGTTTCCCATCAACAGCCTCACTCTCTTCCCCTGGGTCTTTGTCTCCTTTAAGGGAGCTTTTGGGGCTGGCTTTGGTTAGGGAAGTATCTGGCTCCGAAGCTGTCGGAGAAAGAACCGTCTGGCATCCTGTGAGCAGAAGGAAAACATGCACAGAATGTTGAAATGCCCTGTAAATGCTGCAACCATAATCTGATCACTAGTTAGCTTTGTATCAAGTTGCGGGGATGGAGTGTGTCAGTCACAGAAATTCAAATGGCAAAAGAGGAGGTTTCTAAGCTGCAAGCCAAGAGTCTGAGCAACACAATGTAGTCCCAATGACGCGGCCTTCTCACAAGGCAGCAAGTTGTAGAATTTGTGGACGCTCTCGAAATGTCATAAAAGAGAGCCAATACCAATGAATTCTTATCACAGATTCCTTTCTTGTGCTAACAATGAGTTCAACCACATCACTAACTTACATCTTAACAAAGGCATGTGGCACATGTCTAGGGTGTTCTTCACATATTTACTGGCTATCAAAGGCAGTCCTTACCTGGCACCACGTAATCGGCCAGTTTGGCTAAAAGCAGAGAGGCAATTTTGGAGGCTGGGTCACTGGGGTCATCCTGCTCACTGTTCAGAGAGGGAACCGAATAGCTCCAGGGGGGCAGCTCCACATTCCCACAATCCTCCACGCTCATGAGCGGAAGGGCCGCCCGGCAGAGCTGGAGGATGATGAGGACCAGCTTCGGGGAGGGACGCTGGTCCAGGAGTAGGGAGAGAAGCTTGGACACGCAGGCCGGCTGGCTCAGGATGGCTTTGCCAATGTGGCTCCTGGAATAGGACCAAACAGTAATTTTGAATGCAATTCTGAAAACAGTGACTCAGACACAAAGCCAGACAACAACGAAGCATCTTCTCTATCCTAAGGTCCAGGCCAGGCAGAAATGTCCCCTGTCATCCCTAAACTGGAGTGGAGATAACCTAGAAATAAGGTTGTCTGCAAGCAGGAGGTGGTCACGAAAGACAGCCTTTCCATAGAATCATAGTATCCTAGTGTTGGAAGAGACCTCACGGGCCATCAAGTCCAACTCCATTCTGCCAAGAAGCAGGAAAACTGCATTCAAAGAATCCTCCTGACAGATGGCCATCCAGCCTCTGTATAAAAGCCTCTAAGGGAGGAGCCTCCACCGCTCTCCGGGGCAGAGAGAGAGTTCCACTGCTTGAACAGCTCTCTCTCACAGTGAGAAAGTTCTTCCTAATGTTCAGATGGAATCTCCTTTCTTTCCTGTAGTTTGAAGCCATTGTTCCATTGTGCCCTAGTCTCCAGGGCAGCAGAAACAAGCCTGCTCCCTCCTCTCTATGACTTCCTCTCACATCTTGATATATTGCCCTCAAATGTCTCCTCTCCGCCTTCTCTTCTACAGGCTAAACATGCCCAGCTCTTTCAGTCCCTCCTCATAGGGCTTGTTCTCCAGACCCTTGATCCTTTTAGTCACCCTCCTCTGGACATATTCCATCTTAGAGTCAACATCTCCCTTCTATTGCGGTGCCCAGAATTGGACACAGTGTGATTCCAGGTATGGTCTGACCAAGGCAGAATAGAGGGGGAACATGACTTCCCTGGATCTAGGCACTAAACTCCTATTTATGCAGGCCAAAATCCCATTAGCTTTTTTAGCTGCCACATGTCATTTTTGTGCTCATGTATGAAGAGGCATCCCTTGTAGTCCAATCTACATGAAAAAACCCCAAGGCCAAAGTGGGACCCGTACCTTGACAAGTCGTTCAGAAGGCTGAGGACGTCCTGCAAGGCATCGTTCCCGGCGGCCTGGTTGCCGCAGCACTCGGTGGCCCGGGCCAAGTGGTTGGTCAGGAGACTGGAGACCTGGCGGGCCAGGCCTGAGTGGACTGCTTCGGTCGAGCCCCCTGCAGAAGGAAGGCAAGAGAGAGGGCGCTCTGTCAGATCCAATTGGATCGCTCCTAGCTGGAGACTTGCCATTGGAGGGCAGAAATGGTCAGAAGGACAAAGGGTTTCCCATACTGTTTCTAAACATTAGTATGAACTACAATGATTCACACTGGATAGATTTATAGGAGACATCCTCAGCCTCACAACAGCTTGGTATAACTCAAGTAGTGGATCAGCCCCCCATGTCATTTTATGTGGCTCTCCAGACAGAGGCTACAACTCCTGTATTCCTCATGATTAGAGCTTATGGGAGCTGTGATACAGTAACCTCTGGAAGACTGCAGTTTATTTTATTTAGTCAAAAGAGTGAGGTCTGCATTTAGATACAAGGCTTGTGGACATGATGTCTGGCTTTCCCCAACCTAAGAGCCACAAGTGCTATTGGGTTCCCATTCCCATTATCCCCAGTATGCATGGCAGATAATCCAAAGGGATGGGAATTGTCATTCAAGAACATCTGAGGGACTCAAACTGGGTAAAAACCAAAGCACTCCGACCATGATGTATGTATGCATGTATGTATGTATATATGTATGTATGTAAGTAAATATGAGAGGTTGCTTACCTGTAACCGTAGTTTCCCTAGTGGTCTGCTGTGAATTCGCACATTTGGTACTTCTGCGCATGCGCAGCATCGCTCTGGAATCTTCAGTTAGATTTTGAAAAGAATCGGCGGTTGGCCCCGCGCGCACTCCCCATGATAGTATAAATAGCCCGCGGCTGGCTAACCGCCTCCAGATCTCTTCCGCCGCTAAAATGGCTAGAAGGAGGAGGCATGACAAACTGCGGGGAGGATGGGCGCGGCTGAAGGGTGACGATTGCTGCCAGCGAGGTTTCTGTTGGTTACCTGGCTGCCGTGGGTATGGATACGGATATGGATATTTGGCTGCTTGCATAACTTCACGTGAGTGTTTAATCTTTTCGTCAGTTGTTGGATCAAAAAGGCCTTCCTCATTCATAAGAAGGTCTTCTGCCAACAAACGGCTTTCTTCCGATAATGTAGAAGCACGAAGCCATGCATGGCATCGTATGGCTGTGGCTGAGGCAAGAAGTTTACCAGATGTCTCAGCCATATGTTTGGTAAAGTCTTTCTGAAATCTAGAGAGAACAAGGGCCTCTGCCTGAAAAGCCTTAGGACAATGATGGACAACCTTTTGAGTTTGGTGTGTCAATACTCTCCAAAAAACCGAGCATAACTCAAGTGGGGTGTCACTTCGAGAAAAACCCATAATTTCATGATATTTATAGTTTAATAAGAAAAATATATTATTGTAATATATAACTGTATTTAATAAACCAAAAACTAATTATTTAAGTTACCTGCTTTTTCTATAATGCCATATATCTCGGCATTATAGAAAAATGCTGGTGTAGCAGCTGAGGATGAAATGTCCTTCCTGGGATGCAACCCCATCTTCTCTGTATGCGGCCGCATGCGGCTGTGTGTCATCGAAAATGGCTACGCGTGTCAGTGCTGACACACGTGTCATAGGTTCGCCATCATGGCCTTAGGAAGACGGCGGTCTTCAATTGGCAGGAGATTGATAAATGGTAACATTTTGTTCCAGAGAAAACTCTGGTACCCGCTCATGTAGGTTGCATAATGAGCCATCCTAGCAAATAATCCCGCAGCCACATGTACTTTCTTCCCAAGGGAGTCTATTTTCTTGCCCTCCTTATCAGGTGGTGTTACAGAATATTTTTTAGGCCTTCTAGACCTAGCTGCTTCCGCCACCACCGTATTAAGTGTGGTGGGGTGAGCAATCCAATTTGCTGTTGAAAGATCAACTTTGTAAAGAAGGTCAACCCTCCTAGGGATAGCAGGGGCAGTTTATGGGGACATATCAGGGACCTTAGTCAACTTTAACAAGTATGGTAAAGTTGGGAGTAATGTTGATGAGGAACTGTCCTGCTGTTCAGGTGGAAACATTGGGTCATCCACCGTGGAAACTGGTTTTGGGGCAGGAATGTCCAAAGCAGTTATCATTCTTCCAATCATTTGTGCAAACTTATTATAGTCCTCTAAACGGTTCACATTGGAGTCCTGATCCTTTTCCACATTTGAAGACTCACCAATTTCCGCAGAGGAATCTGACTCCACATTCTCGGCTGCGAGTTGGTCTTCAGAAATAGAAGGCAATGGTGTATCCCTTTGGGGATAGTAGTTCCTATGGTGCTCATTTTTTATATGCATAGGCAATGTCTCATGCCTTGACAAATGTCTGTTTGTTCTAGAGTCTTTATCAGCATTACCATGCCTAGTAGGATAAATGTCCTCTTGGCTCGGAGACCCTGGTGGTGGTCCACAATAAATAAATTGTCCCTGCGGGGTTATCTCATAGAAGCCTGGATGAGGGAATGGACGTCCTCTGTCACTTTGACCCCCCCAGCGTGAGGATCTCGAGGATGAGGTCGATATTGCTCTCTTGGCGCGTGCACGTCTGCGTTTCCTTGCAGAACATGATGAATCAGAGCAGGAAGTAGTAGAAGAAGGGGAGGAATCACTTGAGCTCGAGTGGTCCCGACGTCCCCTTTTATTTCTGCTTGTGCGGGAAGGAGTGCGCGCGCGCGGCGCCGAGAAAGGGCTGCTGAGCCAATTGCTCCCGATGTGGAAGGGAGCGCTACAGAAGGCGCCCGTCTCGGCTCCTCCCCAAATCCAGTCCGTTGAGCCATGGGAGGAGCCGGCGCCGAGAGCATCGGCATCGGAGGCGTGGTGTTAGCCTCCTCCTGAGCACGCGCGGGGCGTGTCCTGGCCGATCTCGGCTCAGTTTCATTTTCAGTTTCCTCCTGTGCTCGCGCGGGGCGAGCTGAGGCCGATGCCGGCTCCACTCCAGCATCACCGCCACGTAGAGAAGCCTCTTTTCCCTTCTCCAAGGGAGGTATCAGCTGAGAAGCCGCGCCCCCGATTCCTGCCGCTTTCTTTGGGAACTTTGCAGCCGTTTTGCCTTCAATATTTTTTGTCTTCTTTGTCTTTCTCAACGTCTTCACCTGGGTCGCCACTCCAGGTAAGTTCTGTTCTGAAGATTCCGGAGCGATGCTGCGCATGTGCAGAAGTACCAAATGTGCAAATTCACAGCACGACCATGTAGGGAAAATATATTTACTTAATATGTATATTTGACAGGCCAGGGCTGTCAAACCCATTTTCACCAAGGGCCTCATTTGCCTTACAGTTGCCTTCAAAGGACCATTGAATCAATAGACAGAGAATCCATGGAGAATGAGGGCCAGCTATATATATATATATATGGCAAATGAGGCCCTCGGTGGAAATGGGTTTGACAGCCCTGGCCTGGGGCAAAAGCCAATGTATTCAATATCAACCCATTGGTGCTCTGAGAAGCAAGCCCAGCAAAAAGATGAACCTTTGGGTATCAGAATGGAGTGTGCCAGGCACTCTTTTCAAAACAGGACAAGCACAAATACATGCCATCACTACTGGAAAAAACAAACAAACATGGGCTTCCCTTTGACCCCTCTCAATCCTTCAAATGGAGTGTCCACTAACAACTCAATTCACCCCAAGGTTTATTTCCCTCTCTTTGGCGGAGTAATGTCTGTGGCTAGGGCAGAACTCAGCCTGCATTGCCCGCCTACCTTCTTCTTTCTCCCATTCGACACAACGGTTGGCCAGCACTTGGAAGGCTGCCCAAGCCATGGTGGCCACTTTCTGCTTCTTGGTCTGCTTCTCATTGGAGCTGGACTCAGCCTGGCTGCTGAGGCTGCACAGGCGGTCCATCAGCTGGACCAGGCCACTCCGCACCAGGCACTTCTCTTCACTCCTGACCAGAGATACAAGTAGCAACAGGGGTGTGTGAGTGCCAAAGGAAGTTCATCTCTCTCAAGTAGAAAACAGCGCACGTGGAAGTGGTGAATGGCAAAAAGCCCAAACCAAGTAGTCTAAATGGGTTTGAAATGCTTCCCTTTGGAAACACACACGGACATAAGTGAACCTGCAACAGACAGGTGGGTAAGCGGTGCCTACCTGGTATATGGGATGGTGCAGAGCAGGCCAATGCTGTTGGCGCAGGCAATGGGATACCGGGCGCAGAGGGCCACCACCGAAGTCATGGTCTCCCCAAAGGCTTCTTGCACTTGCTCCACCATTCCTCCACAGGTCAGCTCTTCAATTCTGTGGGGAGTTTCAACATATCAGCCCCATTCTGGACAAGGTCTTCAAGAAGTGCCCCTTGAAAGGTTTCCGCGGAAGGAGAAGGCTTCCAAATACAGGCGGCAGACTACCACCACCACCACCACACCCATTGAAGAATTATTAATTATTGAATTAATTATTAATTGAAGAACGGCTGGCAGCAAGACACATTTGAAGGGCACACAAACATCCAGTCTGAGCAAGGAAAACTATGGAAGGGAATGGAAGTGTTACAGAATCGCATTCATAATATTATCAGTCCTGGTTACTCCATAAGGAAGTTGGGAAAGAGGCAGGATGGATGAAGTAGCTTTGAATTTGTTGTTATGCCTCACCAAAAAGATGAGTGGCACACTTCTCTGGGAGACGCCAGTTAGTTTTGAATTTGTTGTTATGCCTCACCAAAAAGATGAGTGGCACACTTCTCTGGGAGACGCCAGTTAGTTAGACTAGCAGTTCTCTAAGTACGCTCCATGAAACATACTGAGGGGCTCTGTGATTCTTCCCTCCTCCTGCTCCAAGCTTTCCCTCCTCCTTCCTGCTCCTTCGCCTCCCTCGCCCCAAAATACTGTTTTCCTCACCTTCCTCACCGCCCAGATCATTTCCCACTAGCCTTCCTTGCTTCCAAAACCCTATTTCCTTTCCACTGCTCAGAGGGTGCTTTGATTGTGATTCTCCTGCATGGCAGAAGGGGGTTGGACCGGATGGTCCCTGGGGCTGCGGCTGCTGCTGCTGCTGCTCCTCCTCCTCCTATTATTATTATTATTATTATTATTATTATTATTATTATTATTATTATTATTTAAGCTGGATGGCTGTCTGTTGGGGGCACTTTGATTGTGCTTTCCCTGCATGGCAGAAGGGGGTTGGACTTGTGGCCCTTGGGGTCTTCCACTGAAATACTGGCCAAAAAGCTTATATTGGTCAAAAGTTTGGCCATGTCTGATATACATATTTTATATATAATGTAATATATAATAGAATACGTAAACATTTCTTGGGGCTCTATGGGAAACTTTTGCTCCAAGAAGGGCTCCACGGCTGGAAAGGTTTGAGTTAGACCAACATCAAATCAAAGTATTCTTTGGCTACATCCCAAACTGACTAAAACCCATCCCATTTTTGCAGATGATTTTGCTGGCACCTAAAGGGCACTTTCCCCACCTTGGTCCCCTTGACAGTTGATAGTGAGGGACTGACCGTGGGCCTCCTTGCAGGACCATTGTGACGGGACCCACGAGATGAGTCACGCCTCCGACCCGGACGGCCGCCGTCAGGAGCTCCCTCATATGGACCAGAGCCTGCTTCCGGGTGTTTCCGCGGCGCCACCGGGTTTGAGCAGCTAACAAGAAACTGCTGCTCGAGACCTGTGAGAAAGAGACGCATGAGTGGTATTGCCTTGCCTGTGCGTTGCCAGCCCTCTTTCTGTTTGACTAACTGATCTGAGTTGTGAGTGCCTTTCATGCCATGAGCCCTTCATTCATTATCAGGGGCATCCCTTGAGTTCTCAGCCACCTGAAAAAAAATACAGTTGTAGCTGGGACTTCCTCGGCTATGGCACCTTCTGGAATACTTGACATGACTTTCCACAGCTTGTTGGATCTTAATGATGATGAATTCTTGGCTTCTGTGGTCTGCACTGCTTACTATATGGTGTGCTAAGTTTATTGGTTTCCTACTTGTGCAACATACTCACAGAGAAAGTAACTCTGAGCTTGACTTACTGCTTGATCAGGATTGGTCCCGATGAAAGCAAACAGCTGGCCCAGCAAGACGCTGTAGGTGGGTTTATCTCGGCTGTCCTCGATGGTCAGGGACTGAAGGAGAGTAAAGGAGCTGCTCCTGTGACTCGTCACATGGCGCCGCCTGGGGAGGTGAGGTAATGGAGAAAGAGAGGTCATTATGGCACCCCCAAAGGCACAGGGAGCAATCAACAGAAGGAGAAGGAAGACAGGAAGCTGCTCTACCTTTGGCTCGACCTCGTGAACTCCAGATCCTCGTTGGCAATCATTTCCAGGTCTGAGGGGGCTGACATGCTGCGGAGGAAAACCGGCTGGCGGACAGCATGGGAGATCACCTTGGTTTCCGAGGCAGACTTGCACGCTGGGGAAGAAAAAGGAATAATAGGGGAAGCCATTCCTAAAGCAAACGAGGAAGGAAATGGCTTGCATTGAACCATGTCACCGAATAATAGAGACACAAGGAAATTATCTGTAAGGAAAGGCAGTGAATCAATGTATTATTATTGTTATTACTTGAATTGCAGGGGCTTATACACTATAAGCCTCCAATAATATACAGGCAGTGCCTAAGTTACAAGAAAGATAGGTTCTTTAGGTCTGTTCTTAAGTTGAATTTGATTGCAAGTTATATATATAAGGGCTAGGCTTTAGAACAGCAGGTTAATCACCACCTTCAGTAAATCTTGCCAACCAAAAGGTTGACAGTTAGAAGCCTGGGGCAGGGTGAGCTCCTGACCTTCAACCCAGCTCTCTGTGCACCTAGCAGATCGAAAACAACAATGTGAGTAGATAAATAGGGACCGCGTTAAAAAGTGGGGAAGTATTTAGGCATGTGATTCTATCAAAAAGGAGGAAGTTTACAAACAAAAAGGCCTTTTGGCAGGGAAGATGGAGCGATGGCACCCTCACAATCCCCCATGGCCAGAACCAAACACAACCTCCAAATTAGCAAAAGATGGGAAAGCCTAGATATACCTCTGTCTATGTTGTCTGTGTTGTCATTGTATAATCGGCATTGGATGTTTGCCTACATGTATGTTTTGGGATACACCCTGAGTCCCCTTCAGGGTGAGAAGGGTGGAATATAAATACGGTAAATAAATAAATAAATAAATAAATAAATATATTATTTAGCTTTCGACCGCATAGGGAAGGGTTAACACCCTTGTGGTATTTACTTTGCTATCTGTGCCCCTCCTCTTCTTTGTTTTGCTGTCTGTGCCCCTGGGAGTATTGGATTTGGGAAAATGTGGCTTGTTGTGGAAACAAGGATTGGTGATACAGTTTCAGTGGAGACACCCATTTCCCATTATAACTATCCCAGGAGTGAATTTCCCTTCCGAGAGGTGTCCTCTCACTTCCTGTTTTCTCATCCCCATTCTTAACTATGATTAGTTTAGAAGTCAGATGTCTGTAACTTGGGGACTGCCTGTATATATGTGTGTATAGACAGACAGATAGATACACACACACACACACACACATAAAATGTGAATATACATTTGTATGTATGTTTGCACCTATCTATCTATGTTTGTTTGTATTTTCCAAGATGGTTCCCACATCCAGAGAGCACTATGAACCCCACTGGCGATGGATCTAGTCCAAACCTGGCACACGGACCCATCAGGATTGATGCCTGATTATGGGAGTTGTAGTTTACCCACATCCTCCATGCATTTTCATGCATTTCATGCAAACCCACATTCTTCATGGGTCTCATTCATAAAATGTAAAACCAAACAATGAGTACTTCTAATGTTTATCCACGAAAAATCCCTAACCTGGACATCGCTGGGTACCTAAGCTGTTAATAATAATAATAATAATAATAATAATAATAACAACAACAACAACAACAACAACAATAATAAATAAAATACTGATGGGGTTTGGGGAGGGGGGTTGTAGTTCACCCACATCCAGAAAACACTGTGAACCCAAATGATGATAGATCTGGACCAAACTTGGCACACAGACCCGAGGTGGTAGGACTGGTGGTTGACTGGAATGGTGATTCAACTGACGAGACTGTTTTATTGTTTTAATCCTTGTTGATGTATTGTTTTAATTGTGATTTATGTTTAATTGTAGTTTTATTATTGTAATTGTTTGTATTGGCATCGTATCTGTGCCCAACGTGAGGCATTGAATCTTGCCATTATTTATGTGTAAACCGCTTTGAGTCCCCCCCCCCCCCCCCGGGGGTGAGAAAGGCGGTATATAAATACTGTCGTTCACCTGCATCCAGAGAGCACTGTGAGCCCAGCCGACAATGATTCTGAACCAAACTTGGCACACAATGTGGCCAAGTTTGAATACTAGAAGTGTTTGGGGGTGAGCGACCCAAGATTCTGGGAATTGTGGTTCACCAACATCCTTATGCATTTTCTAATGGGAGCATTCATAAAAAACAAAAGCGTTACAAATTACCGAACACAGGCATAGGCCAGGTACCTAAGCTAGTATTAAATAAAAGTTAAAATGCAATACATGTAAGCTTTAAGGCCCCACTGTTCACATTTGGCTCAATCACTACCTGGGGTCTCAGCAGGGGTGCCAGAGATGCTGCGGGTCAGGCCAGACTGGGCAGCAATGGTGACGTGCAAGAGCAGCTCTGCCCGGTTCATCAGGCTCTTGACCAGTGTTTTGGTCTTCCCCATGGGATGCAAAGGCTTCTGGTGCAGGGAGTTCACTTCCTGGATGAACTTCTCCCTACAAAAGTAAGGGAGGTAAATCCGAGAGGGTCAGGCAATCTGTCTGCACCTGAAGATTCTAGCAGGCTGCACCCAGGAGACAAACTGGAGTGGAAAGCTCAGACAAGGAAGGCCTGGAGACTATTTCTGGGTACCCAAATGGGCCCTCTCACCCTTATTCAAAGGCAGGACGGAGCAGGAGAATCCAATCCCTGAAAACGCAGGGAACCCCACTCACCTCAGTGAGAGAACCATGTTCTCAAGGTCACCTCCATCAAATGAAATTTCCTTCATTGAGCACAGTAGTTCCAGTTCCTTCATTTTGCTCTAAAGAGGGGAGACAAATATACCCCCAATACAGTGATTCTTACAGTAGCAGATTAAAGAAGTAATGCAAAGGTTAGTATGGGCGGGATAAAAGTGACTTAAATAAATAAATAAATCAGATCAGGAAATTTTCAACTGAAGCATCACCCTGTCTCACAAGAAATGGATCCCTGTAACAGAATTTACACACACACACACACACACACACAGATAGTTCTATTACAGGGATCCATTCCTGTGAGACAGGATGACACTTCATATATTATTATATGAGACACACACATGATGGTTGCTTACCTATAACCATGTTTCTTTGAGTGGTGATCTGTGAAATTAGCACATGTGATGGTTGATGCACATGTGCAGCAATCATTGGAAAACTCTGACAAGCTGACAAGGCTTGTGGCTGCCGCCCTGCCCCTCTTCCCCATGAGGCATATAAGCCAGATGAGGGGCTGTAGGTGTAGTTCCCCACCGCCATGCAGCGGCACGAGGCTGGAGGCATGATCTGCGGGGAGGAAGGGCGGGGATGTGCTAATTTCACAGATCACCACTCGAAGAAACATGGTTACAGATAAGCAACCATCATTTCTTCTTCGTGGTGTCTGTTGAAATAAGTACATGTGATAGACTAGCAAGCCACAAACCTTGGATGGTGGGCGTCATGCCACTGCCGAGAAGAGAACCGCTCTGCCAAACGCAGCATGCCTCCTCGACTGGGCGTCCATCTTATAATGGGTGGCGAATGTTAACGGAGTGGTCCAGATCGCCGCCCGACAGATGTCGTCCAATGGAACTCCACGAAGATAAGTTGCCGATGTAGCGACTGCTCTCGTGGAGTGGCCCCTCAGATGCACAGGCGGATCTTTGCCCTCCATCTGATAGGCAAGTCTAATGGTAGAGACCACCCATGCCAAGAGGCATTGGGGGGAAACAGGCAGACCTTTGGTGTCACTGCGGTATTTCACAAAAAGCCTAGGAGACTGCCTGAAGTCCTTCATCCTGTGAAGGTAGAAGGTGCACTGTGAAGGTAGAAGGTGCACTGAGGACAACGAGAAGATGAAGCGGCCACTGAAGCTCCGTTTGTGGAGCTTGAAAAATGCTGGAAGCACAATGTCTTGAGCCAAATGATATGCCGAAGCGACCTTAGGGAGGAAGGCGATGTCGGTTCTGAGAACCACCTTGTCCCTATGAAATCGGAGATAGGGCTCATCAACACGGAGTGCACACAACTCGCTGGATCGAGCCAAGGAGACTGCCACCAAAAAAGCAACTTTCCATGAAAGGTGAGAAAGATCGGCCGTAGCCATAGGTTTGAAAGGTGGCTTCATCAATGCTGACAACACAAAATCAAGCTGCCAAGAGGGAGGTGGAGGGGAGACTGGTGGTCGGAGATTCCTGTACCCTCTAAGGAAGAGTTGGACAAGAGGGTCCTGAAACCATGAGGAGCCACCTTCCCTGCAGCGATACGCTGAGAGAGCAGCAAGATAGCACTTGATCGAAGAAAGCACCAGGCCCTCTTCTGCCAACGTCGCAAGGAACTGAAGGAGTGAAGTAGGGGCCTGCAGAGGCTGCACACCATGCTGGCGTGTAAACAGAGTGACAGACATGACCGTCCTGGATAGTGAGCAAGTCTGGCCGACTGCTCAGTGTGACATCGTCGCCCGCAGCCATGGTCTGGAGGAGGGCGAACCAGGGTTGTCTTGGCCACCAAGGTGTTATCAGGATGGTGTTGGCTCTGTCTGCATCCAACTTGGCCACCATTCTGCTGAAGAGAGGCAGTGGTGGAAAAGCATACAACAGGGGTCCGTGCCAACTGTAGAGGAAGGCGTCCCCCAGACATCCCTGTGGCGTTCCTTGTGGCATGCTGGCACAGAAGCGTTTGCATTTGGAATTGGCTGGCGCTGCAAACAGGTCGATGTCCGGCCATCCCCACCGACGAAAGAGAAGGTGAGTCTCGTGAGGGTGCAGCGCCCACTCGTGGTTGGTGGGCCCAGTCCTTGTCGCCTATCTTGAAGGACAAACACTCGTGGTGGCGTGGCGCGATGGCCATGTGGAAGTAGGCATCCTTTAAATCTATTGTGGCGAACCACGCCCCACGAGGAAGAAGTGGCAAGATGGTCTGGAGAGTCACCATGTGAAACTTGCGTGGTCGGATGTATTGGTTAAGACCATGCAGATCCAAAATAGGCCGTTGGCCTCTATCCTTCTTAGGGACTAAGAAATAGATGGAGAAAAAAGCAGAAGAAAACGGAGAAGGGTGAAGCGGCACAATCGCCCCTTTGTGAAAGAGGGTGCGAACCTCATCCAAAAGGACATCCGAAGGCGGCGTAGTTCTAACAAAGCCAAGGCGTAGAGGACTCTTGAACTCGATAGAGTATCCGTGACGAACCACATCCAGCACCCACCTATCGGTGGTGATAGATCTCCATGCCCCGTAGAAGCCGGCCAAACGCGTGCCAAAACGCACAAGCAGTGGTGGTTGAACAGAAGGTGGAAGCGAAGACACCCTGTGAGGAAGTGAAGGGGTCGGAGAAGGGGGAGGGGAGATGTCGCTAAAAGCGACGCTTGCCCTTGGGTTGAAATTTCCCCTTACCCTGCTGACGAGTCGAAGACTGCGTCTGCTGCTTTGGGGAGTGTAGAGCTCTTGGTTGGTTGGAAGTGCGAGAAGATGGAAAAGATCTTCTAGAATAAGAGGAAGAGGGCTGTTGGCTCCTGGAGCAAGAACAGGACGAAGGCTGCGTGAAGCCATACTTATTGGCTGCCTGAAGCACCTCCTGAAACTCCTTCAGGTTAGTATAAGTCCCAGGACTGAACAATCCATCATCATGAGCAGGCATGTCTTCTTCCAACATTCTTCCTTCCTCCGACAGGGTGGAGGTACGTAGCCACGCATGTCTTATGGATGTGGCAAGGGAGAACAACTTCCCTGCCATGTCAGCAGTGTGCTGAGCCATGTCCTTGTGGGTACGGGTGAGGACAAGGGCCTCACGGTGATAAGCCTTGGCCACACTCTGCTGAGGAGATGGAAGGAGATACAGAAATGGCCCAATTTTATTCCACAAAAAAGCATTGTAGGAAGACATGTATGCTCCATAATGTGCCATTCGAACCATTAAACTGGCATTGGCATGGTACTTCTTACCCTCCTTGTCTGGAGGAGTGGGCTGAATATTATGGGACTGCTTACACTTGGCTACCTTCACCACCACCGTATTGGGTTTAGGTGGCCATGCTACCCAGTCTGCAGACCCAAGATCAATGCGGTAGCGAGCGTCCCATGACCTAGAAACCGCTGGCACCGCTGATGGAGCCTGATCGGGGTTTTTAGTAAGCTGGAGCAAATATGAAGGGCTGGTAAAGAGGTAGATGCCAGAGGTTGTCTAATTTGCTCATCAGGAGGAAACATAGGATCCTCCACTGGTTGCTGCTCCTTCTTTGGAGTCAAATTAAGGGCCTTAGACATACGTATCACAAGGGCCAAGAAAGCTAAAGTGTCCTCTGAGACAAGCGAGGGCTGAGGCTCAGCAGCATCTGGAGGTTTGACAGGGCTTACAGAAGATCCTGAGTCAGAAAGAGATGCTGCCTCCTGCTCTGCAGCATGCGAGGGAGTAAGAACCACCTGAGGCTGCAAGAGATTTAAAGGCACAGAAGTAGGAGGGCAGTGCTGCACAGAAGCAACATGAGCCCGTGGTGCCTGCACTGGAGTGAGATGATAAGCTCTTCCTCCAGGCGAGTAATGCACATAGCTCTTTCCACCAGAGGGAGAGCGGTGCTCTTCAGGCAGATGTGCCACAGGGGAGACATAATGGCCATAGGGCCCTGGGCTCCGACCTCGACAAGCCCAAGAATACTGACCTGGAGAAGGGCTTCTGGAACGCCAGGAGCTGCGGGAAGCTGACGAAGGAGACCACCGCACCCGGCTCAACCTCTGCACCGGCACAGTGGCCAGGAGAGAGAGTGCCCGCTCGGGGCTGGGCAATGGGCTCGAGTGAGCAAACGCCCGCTGCCCCGCAGAAGCCGGCAAGCCCAAAGAGGGCTGCACATAGTGGCTGGGCTGGGGCGTTAACTCCGGAGGAGGAGAAGCCCCACCCGCACTTCCGGCCGACACCGGCAGCACCTGCGCCACGTGCTCTGCGAAGAGAGCTTGGGGCGGGGCTGAAGAGGAAGATGCCAGCAGCAAGGCCTGCTCCAGCGAAGGAGGCTGCGGTGCTGGAGAAGCAGTCTGCCAGCCAAGCCGCAGGGAGTGCGGCTGGTGGCGGGAAACAGAGACGCCGCGCGTCTTTTGCTTCTTCCCTCCTGTCTTCACCGGAAAAGGAGACCTCGCACGCACACCCTTTCTCAAAGAAGTAGGTGGCTGCACATCCACAAGCTTTAAAGAAGAGTCAGGAGGCTCTGATGTTGCCCTGCATCCAGACGAAGTAGAGGGGAGGAGAGCCTTCTCATACAGCACAGTTTTAAGCTGCTGCTCTCTGCTGTTCCTTGCCTGGGCCTAAAAACCTTACAGGCAGAGCAAGTTTGCACCAAATGTGCTTCTCCCAAGCAAATTACACACATAGTGTGGCCGTCTGAGTCAGGGAGCTTTTCCCCACAAGACACACACTTTTTAAACATTGCCACAATACAGACCAGGTCAGGACGCCAGAAAGTAGAGCAAACGATAAGCCAGTCCAAGTCAGGGTTGGAGAAAGGAGAATATCCGAAAGACAATCCGAGTTGTATGGTAAATTTTCAGTCAGAGAGGTTCCCAAATGCTGCTGCTTAGGCGGCTGGGAAAAAAGGAACTACACCTACAGCCCGTCATCTGGCTTATATGCCTCATGGGGAAGAGGGGCGGGGCGGCAGCCACAAGCCTTGTCAGCTTGTCAGAGTTTTCCAATGATTGCTGCACAGGTGCATCAACTATCACATGTGCTTATTTCAACAGACACCATGAAGGAGAAACACACATATATACATACACACACATTTATTGCATATATAATTATTTTTATTATATAAATAAAAGTAATTCTCTATATGTATATGTCATATGGTAATATATAATCCATTTAGTAACATTTCTGAAACACTAAAAACTCCTGATTGACTTTTGGGGAGGGGGGGATGATGGCAATTTGATGAGTGTTGGTTTTGTTAATTAATGTGATTTAAATGACTAGATTAATAAATGAGAGAAAGGGAGGCACAAGATTTAAAACATAACCAGAGAAAAAACAGAAGTCAGTTTTCATTTCTGCCATTTTCCTTTTGTATTTTGGCCATTCAGGTTTGAGGGTCAGTTTTATAATGTTTTTCTCTATTGCGTGGCTCTCTGGTATAGTTTTGCTTGTTGTTTGTGTTGTTTGTTTTCTTCAGATTTGATAATAATAATAATAATACTAATAATACTAATAATAATACTTTATTTGTACCCCACTACCATCTCCTGAAGGACTCGGTGCAGCTTACAAGAGGCCGAGCCCAAGTACAACAATAAAACAGCAGCAGCAACAACAACACAATAACGCAAAAAAACAAAGCAATAACAATTAACAACACCCAATGATGCAATTAAAAACAATGGCCGGGCCAATTGTAACAATTAAAATTAAAAGTGCTGGGCATGACAAGATGGAGTGTTTGGAGGGGGATGGGCATGCAGATATCCTGAATCTCTGATAAAGTGCGTTGGGACATAGTGCTAGGAGATTGCTTATTCTGGAAAGGCACACTGGAACAACCACGTTTTCAAGCTCCTCCTAAAGATTTCTAGCAACGGGGCCTGCCTGATCTCCTTAGGTAGAGAGTTCCAGAGTCGAGGGGCCACCACCGAGAAAGCCCTATCCCTCATCCCCACCAATCGTGCTTGCGATGCAGGTGGAATCGTGAGCAGGGCCTCTCCAGATGAACGAAGAGATCGTGTGGGTTCGTAAACAGAGATGCGGTCATGTAGGTAGGCGGATGTGATGTCGATTTTATGGAAGGGGGAAAGAACCTGGCCCTTTAAGGTGGTGGCTCACCTCATTAAAGTGATAGTCGTAAAAGAAGGGCACGTTGTTCTCCAGCTTCCCAGACATGGACTCCTCCACTTCACTTTGCCACTTCTGCTCCAACTCCGCAACACTCTGCCAAAAAAAAGCATAAATGCAGTGGATTGCCGTCACCATTGCAAACGTCACCGACAAACCAGAACACATCTTTTAAATTCTAAAAGCAGCAAGTATCTTTCCTTGGATTTGTCATCTATCTATGTATAATTTGAAAAGGTTTTTTAAGTGATTTCAAAACATTTCCCAGCTCTGTCCATTCAATGACTACTCCTTATTCTCATTTCATCTATTACATATAATTGTTGCAATATGTTTTCTAATTGTTCCTCCACAGCTTTTCTTCATCCTTTAGTGGTTTGAATCCACCAATAACTTTACACATGAAGCTAATAAATTGCTTCCTTGTCTTACCAAATAGATCTTTTTCCATTTCTCCTTTTGCTAACCTTTCCTTATGTTAGGTTTTCCAATAGAGCTATAGCCCATACCCCATTTAACCAGGTTATGAGAAAGGTTGCATTACGAGAACAGTTTTTGTAAACCTTATAGCAGCCTATGACACGATGCAACATAGGAAAATGCTGCATAAAGTTTACCATATTATCCGGGACTATGATTTCCCAAAACTGTCCTGACCCTTGTAGGAAACCTCAACTGGAGTTTCGGGACAGGAAAAGTAGAAGAAGGAGACAAAATAATGGTTTACCCCAAGGCAGCGTTCTTGTACCGACCTTGTTTAACATCTTTACTAATGATCAGCCACTCACAAAGAGCTCGATATATGCTGATGGCCTTGGCCTGACAACACAAGCAAGAGACTTTGAAACAGTCGAGAACCAACTTCCTAATGCCCTGAAAGAAATCTCCAGGTACTGCAAAGATAACCACCTGAAGCCTAACCCTGCAACGACACAAGTGGGTGCTTTCCGCCTACGTAACCATGAAGTCAACAGAAAATTGAAAGTTACTTGGGAAGGCCAAGAGTTTAAACACTGTTCCTACCCTAAATATTTCAGTCTCACCTTAGATTGAACACTAACATTTGGAAAACACTGTGCAAAAACCAAGCACAAAGTAGCCGCACACAATAACATCCTGTGGAAGCTTACTAGCAGCGCATGGGGTGCAGACCCAAATTAATAAGAACATCAGTCCTGGCCTTGTCTGACTCAACTGCTGAGTGTGCCTGCCCTGTTTGGCACAAGTCTGCCCATGCGAAGAAGGTGAATATAGCGCTGAATGAGATGTGTAGAATAATCACAAGATGTCTTAAACTTACACCTGCTGATAGTCTTTATAAACTAACTGGCATTGCCCCCTCCATGTGTGACGAGAAGTTGCTGTCAATTGCGAGAGAAATAAGGTTGACCACTGTGAAAGCCACCCACTGCACGGCGATCGGCCTCTTCCCAGTAGACTCAAATCAAGGGAAGGTTTCATGAGAATCACCACTCCTCTTAATGTTCCTCCAGTAACAGCAAGAATATCCCTGTGGGCAGCAAAATCAGGCAACCCCCCCCCCCCCACAAGGGCCTTACTCCAGGGGCAAACCAAGAATGGGCAACATGGAAGTCCCTGAACAGACTTAGAGGTGGAGTGGGCAAATCAAAGCACAACCTGGCAAAATGGCACCACCTGGAAGAATCCTTCACCTTGTGCGACTGTAGAGCAGAACAAACAACTCAGCACCTGTATGCTTACCCACAATGCCCTGCCTCATGCACAGAGGAAGAACTGTTTAAAGCTACAGTCAATGAGGTCGCTGTTGCCTGTTTTTGGTCTAAACCTATTTAGTTGCTTGTGTTCCCTTTATTTCATTAGTTTTATACTTATTTATTTATGCAATGCTTTTGACATGAAATAAATACAATTTAACCAGATCTTTATAGTTAAATTCTCTAGTTTTTTCCAAGCTTTGTCTCTTTTGAGTCTTGCGGCACATAACACGAGCAGTAGGTTTTTATTATCAAATCCTTATGACTACTTTCAAATGCATAAATCATGAGTAGAGCTCCCCTGAAGTGTACTGTTTTTCCCACAATTCGCTTTATTATCTATGCTAGAACATAATCCCAGAAACATTGTGCTTTGGGGCTGTGTCTTAGCGCCATGTGACTCCATTCCCCTATTCCTTTCCTGGACTTGTTGTGCTGAATTTACATACCTGCAATTGCCTCTCCATGGCATTCAGCTTCTTGAAAGTTTCCCCCATAATTTTGCAGAGCAGGTCGTACTCCTCGGCATGCTCCTCCTGGTACTGGAAGTTGATGAGGGACTGGAGGGCATCAACCAGGTTCAGATGCTTAATCACACAGGACACCACCATTTCTTCCATTATGTCGGGTTGGATCACCTCCCTGGGAAAGCAATAATAATAATAACAATAACAACCACAACAATACTACTACTGATATATTATTACCATGATTATTATTATTAAGTAATATTATGGTATTATATAATATTTAATACAATACTTATTATTAATATTATTACTATTTCTTATCCTTGACACTCCTTGACACTCAAGGCAGGGCATGATGTCAATTACACATATCAAAACGTATTTCTATGAAAAGCATATATTAAAATATACAGAAAAAAGATTTGAAAATAGTAAACACAAGATGAGTTTAAATTTCATACTTAAAATGGACTGGGCAGGCCTCCCAAATGTAAAAGGTTGGCTATTTGGACTGCTTTTACCAGTAAGAGAGCTGGAAACAATTCTCGAGAGTAAGAATTACACTGGCAGCTTTATTAATTTATTACCTGCTTCTCTTTTCAGTTCAAAGCAGGGCACAAAATAGTTAAATTCATCAATAAAACCACATATTAAAATCCAGTAAACATGCAATAGGTGTATGTTTTCAATGTATGAATGTGCTTTAAAAGTCATAGTTCAAACTGACTGGGTTGGCTTGCCAGAAGACAGAACTCTTTCCTTAAAAGCAAGCTCTTTTGAACATAGGCTGCAGTTCCGTAGATGAAAAGATGCCCAATACCTGATGCTGGGCCGGAACTGGGGGCGAGCTCGGCCGGAGATTTCCCTGAGTTTGACCATGATCCCTGGAGGAAGACGGATCCGCGGAAGCTCAAAGTAGTGGCCAACGGAGGGCACCAGGATATCGGAGGGATATGTGAATTCCCGGTCTTCGTCAATGGTGAGAGGCAGTGGGGAAGGGCTTGGGGTGAGAGCTGGGGAAATGACCCCATTGGCTTCGACTTGCCACTGGCACCTGGAATACAAAGCAGAGGGAGACATTATTCGGAAACATGCACAGCACTGCTGCCGGCGGCTGCAAAGATGGCGAGGATGTGCTCGGGAGAAAAGGCAGGAAGGGCCCAGCAATGTTAGAAAGAAATGGCACAGCATTTGTAGTCATGTAAAAATACTATCTGGTGAGCATGTGGAAAATTGATAGCACCTGGGTAATGACTGTGAATGTCATGATGCAATACTTAAGGGGATATGGTATTGGCTGAGTCAGAACCATGTGAGGGTTATTGCAAAGGGGTTGCATCAGCCAGTGTCTCTCACTGATGACCTGTCAGCAGGTTGCTATATAACAGTGGTTCCCAACCTTTTTTGACCAGGGACTACTGTGAACTGGGACCACTCTTCAACATTAGTACCAAAAGTTACGAATCAGTTTTTGGTCAGCTTTAGATTCGGACTGGTTATTTGGGGTGCTGATTCAGAAAACTGCATTGGATAGACCACATCAGCTCTAGTTTCTGATACAGAACATATGCCATCCAGTAGTCGCTATCTGCTCACCCAAAGAAAAACATATTTAATAATCTAGAGCTGATGTGGTAGCAGTAATATTTTGTGGGTAGTCAGCCTCTCCCCTCCCAACATCCACGTTGCCTCGGCACTATAAGAGGGTTTCGTGAGACCAGTAGTTCTCGTTGCTGCATGGTTTCGAGGCAACGGTGTAGTAATGGTGAAGCTGCGGACTATATTTTCATTCCACGGACCCCAGGTTGGGAACCACTGCTGTATAAGGAGGATGAAAGTATCCATCTTCCTCTCTCCAGTGTGACTCAGTGTGAGTATCTGCCTATGTTGTATATGAATATTTGATTACTTAGATTGTTTGCCATGACAAGCTGAAAGTAGATCTGTGAATTTTGTAAATATTGCAACAGTGAAGATTAAAGCTTCCAGATTTTTGGATGAAATCCTGAATCCGCGAGTTTACTAAACAGTGTGTGGATAAGGTCAGAAGCTGTCAGTTGGACTTTGCTGACAGATGGATTGAAGCATGTTTTTACTGTAAAAGGATTCTGCCGTGTTTTTGCTTGCTTCTGGGACACTTGCTGGCCAGCTTGCAGCAGTTCAGGGAAGTCGCGATTTGGAAAATATAAATCACTTCACGTGCCAGGATCCCTTGACAAGCAAGGCATCCCCAATGCAATCCCGGTGACCTGCTGAGCTTTTAAGTACAGAAAAAAGACACTGGAGCATAGCGTCCTGTTCCCAGCGACACAAGAAAGAAATCTGGTCTGGAGAATTGGCCAATAGGTTTCTTTTCCTCTCCAACAGATCGTGGTGACTTACCGCTGCAAAAGTTTGGACCTCAGGAGTTCTTGGCAGGCTTCCTCCTCTTTGGTGATCTCTGGTCCATTGTACAGGATCCTGAGCATGGAGCACGCCAGCACTGACAAACCCAAGGCTAGGTCTACCAAGAAAGGCAGTCCGCCCGACACGTCTTCAGAGGACTCCTTTGCCACAGAGGAAGGGAAAAGAAGAGCACAACAACCAACATGACTTGGGTTTTTTAAAAAAATGCAGTTAAATATCTTTTTATTCCAACAGGCCTCTGGGTGTTTTCGGGGGAAATAGGCCTTGTATCATCAGCTGGGCTTTTTCTTTGTGTGGTTATTTGAATCAGTGTCAGCAGCCCTGACAAGAACTGGAATGAACCATCAAGCTTTCAGACCCATTAAAACAGTGGTTCTCAACCTGTGGTTCCCCAGGTGTTTTGGCCTACAACTCCCAGAAATCTCAGTCAGTTTACCAGTTGCTAGGATTTCAAGGCCAAAACATCTGGGGACCCACAAGCTGAGAACCACTGCATTAGAATAATAGAATCATAGAAACATGGAGTTGGAAGAGGTCACATGGGCCATCCAGTCCAACCTCATTCTGTCATGCAGGAAAAGCGCAATCAAAGAACCCCCAACAGATGGCCATACAGTCGCTGTTTAAAAGCCTTCAAGGAAGAGCTTCCACTACACTCTTGAGGCAGGGAGTTCCACTGTTGACAGCTCTCATGGTCAGGAAGTTTGATGCTGACAGAATTATATAGCCACCAAAACTCTTTCCCGCTATCTGTCCTATTCCCCTCACATCAGATATGAGGCTTTCAATGAGACCATTTTCCTGCTCACCTGGGCTCGGACAGTGCAAGTGAAGCCCCACATGGCTTTGTCGGGTGTGTTGTGCTCTCGCCCACTCCGCATTTCAAAGGAGAAGGTCACGGTGTCCCCTTCCACCTGGGGGTTTGGAGAGGTCCAAGTGAGGGAAAAGAGGCTCCGTTAAAGCGGATTTGTCTGTGGCTCTCTCATTCTCACCCTAATCTCCCCAGTGGAGTTGTGGCTTGATTTACATAGCTAAAGAATGCAGTTTGAACCGTGTTATATGATCACTCTAGATCAGGTGTTTGGTACTTCAGCTCCCATAATTCCTGATCATTGAACAATCTGGCTAGGGCTTTGGGGAGTTGGTGGCCCAAAGAGTGAAGAGGCCTGGTGTAGATCCCTATAATGTAATTTCATCCAACTCAAACTGCATTATAGGGATCTACACTGACCATACAGTGCAGTTCCAACTGCACTCTTTGGCAGTTAGGATCCAGCCTGTCAGAATATAATGGAAGTGGTGGTATAAGAGAAACTCACCCAAACTCTTTGGAAAGGGAAGAAGGCAAAAAATGAATGTATAATAACTATGTAAAGAATGTACTTTATTGAGACTCCAGAAAAACGCTGATGTATGCAGCAGGACACACACCCTGTCAACAGTTAACTCCATCCCCCAAATTTGTCTCTAGACACTATCAAAAAGAGTTGTTTCTTGCTTCAGTTTGGGCAGTTTAGAAAAAAAACCCAAAGAACACTTGTTCCGTACCTTGACTAAATCTTTGGGCCAACCCGTTCCCAAGACACTGCGACTGCCGTACCCGAGGGTATTACCCCCGTATTCGGCCACCTTCCGGCTGTTGGTGTTGGGGCCTGCATATATCACCAACTTCAAAGACAAGAAAGAAACTGTTCAGTGGCAAGAAGATGAAAGACATCACCATACAATCTTAACAACAGTTTTGAACAGGGGAATCAATCCACAAACAGCTTGAGAAAACCAACAAATATGATACAGAAAGCAAGAGACTGTGAAGACACAAAGGAGAGTGCTCCACTCTCCATTTAGTAATCTAAGGCCTAAAGCCACGTGTTCATTTCTGCTAGAATTGACCCTTTAAATCAGCGTTTCTGAAAGTGTGCTCCATGGAGCAACTGGACCAGGTAAGAACACTTCTTATGGCCCTCGCTCACCTTGTCATAATCATACTGCGAGGAACATCGGTTGTCAAACCTCAGGTACAAGCAACGGGCCCCTGGGATGTGCACGGTTTCCTTAAATTTGTAGTTGTCCCTCACAGGATGCACAGTCTCCACAGTTTTCCCAGCTGCCCAAGGAGCCGGGATCTTCAAGCCAGTCAGGAAGCCTGGCTCTTCTTTCTCTTCTAGCATCCTGGAACAGAAGGATCAGGAGAAGCAGCATTAGGGAAAGAGTCATATCACAGAATGGATTACTTAATATTAAGACAATTGATTTCTATAATAATAATATCAACCACCATCACCACCTATGGGGAGCCCTCTCAGCCTGGTCATAGCTAATTTCTACATGGAACACTTTGAAAAACAGGCCCCGGAAACAGCAACAAAAAAGCCCACTATATGGTTCATATATGTGCTTTCACCATTTGGAGCCATGGAGAAGAAGAACTAAACAGATTCCTGGACCATCTTAACAGCATCCACCCAAACATCCAATTCACCATGGAAAAAGAAAATGAAGGAATATTACCTTTTCTAGATGTGCTAGTCATCCGTAAACTACATCAACAATTGGGTCACACCGTTTACAGAAAACCCACACACACAGATAGATATCTACATAAAAACAGATTGGTAGCTAGTGGAGCTGCCACAACATGGGCATCATCCTCTCATAATACAATGCTTCAGTTAGTAGCCTGGCTGCCAATCTCTGAACTAACTTCCAAACTATCTTCAAAGGCAGTCCCATGTAGAGAGCGCTGCAGTAGTCCAGACGGCATGTGACTAAGGCGTAGAAAACCATGGCCAGATCTAGTGTCTCAGGGTATGGGCGCACAGGTTTTAATTGTGCAAAGGCACTCCTGGCCACCACTGACACTCGGGGTTCCAGGTTCAGCGATGAATTCAGGATCACGTCCAGACTGTGAACCTGTGTCCAAGGGGAGTGCGACCCCATCCAACACAGGCTGTAATCCCACACCCTGATCCACCTTCCGACTGACCAGGAGTACCTCTGTAATCTGGATTTACCTTCAACTTGTTAGCCCTCATCCAGTACATCACACCAGTTTAGGGGTTGAACGGGATCCTTGGCTTTTGGTGGAAAAGAGTAGTAGAGTTGGGTGTCATCAGTGTAAATTTGACAATGAACTACATACAAAACTTGGGATGATCTCTCCCAGAGGTTTCATGTAAATGTTAAACAGCATGGGGAACAGAACTGAACCTTGAGGGACCACACAGGCCACCAGCCAGGGAATCGAACAAGAGTCCCCCAGCTCCACCATCTGGGTACAGCCCTCCATGAAGGACCGGCCACTGCAAAACAGTGCTCCCAAGCCCCATCCTGGAGGGATGACCCAGAAGGATACCATGGTCAATGGTATCGAAAGCTGCTGAGAGGTCCAGGAGAACCAGCAGGGACACACTCGCCCTGCCCAGTTCTCTTTGTAGAACATCCACCATGCCGATCAATGCCATCTCTGTCCCATAGTCAGGCCTGAAATCTGACTGAGATGGATCCAAATAACAGGTTTCATTCAAGAGACTTTGGAGTTGTGAAACCACAGTATTTTACAGTATTTCACGGTATTTTAGAAGAGGGTGGGTAACTGTGGGAGTTTGGAGGGCCCTGTTTGGCCCAATGAAGACCTGGGGGGCTGCAGTGTGGGGTACACAATGTCCTCTAGTGAGTGGGCATGGGCCTTTTTGATATGCGAGGCTAGCCTCCGCCCTTGTAGATGCAAGAGAAATGCCTTTTGATCAGCAATGATTGGAAGCTAGTTTTAAAAAAGGTATTTCTCTCCTAGTTTTCCTAAAGGAAAGAGACAGAGAAAACCTTTCAGTGGGGATTATCATTTTCAGCTCTTTGCAAGGAAGCTTTCTTCCCGAGCCGACAAAGCAACTGCTCTGTAAAATTACAGTGCAACATAATGCTGACCCTATGGAGTTCCTTGCCTCTGAGTCATGGGCAACAAATGAGCACAAACAGAAAGACTAGGCTCCCAATGTAGGAAAGTATTGAATGATGGGTGTCAAAGGTTATCTGGAGAATGACATGCCTCTCACCTCTCATCCGGAAACAGCTTGTTTCTCTGCTCACAGGTCCCACTGGGAGAAGCACCCGCCTCCGAAAAAAGAGGGGACTGGGTTTTCAGCAGCAAGGCGGTCTGCAACACAGCAGGAGAGGGGCTGTCTTAGTAACAATGCCATGTGCAAATGTGGCTACACAGTTTGGGAGAAAGAAATGACCAGTGGATCGGAAGGCACATGCAGACACCTCCTTCCTGGTCGTGATGCCCTGTCAATGCTTTCTGGCTCTCTGTTGCCCTCAAGGAGGGCACAACATTCCCCTTTCCTCCCAGTTCCAGATCATTTGCCTGGAAAGAAGAAGAAGGACTGCCTGCTTTTGAATCAAGCCACAGATTGGTCCTTACAGGCAGACCATTCAGGGACATTTTTGTGAAGAGTCAAAATGACCTGAGTGCTTTCTCGATGGAGCTTGGAAGAAGAGGTTGCTTGCCGGTAATGGGGTTCTTGGAGTGCTCGTCTGATATCAAGTGCCCAGGCATTATTGGAGCTTGGGAGAAGAGGTTGCTTCCCGGTAATGGGGTTCTTGAAGTGCTCACTGGAGCTCAAGTGCCCAGGCATTATTGGTGAGTCATACACGCCATGAGCAGCACACAATGAGTAATTGATGTACTTGGAATGCTTTCATTTGGGGGACAAAGAACGCTAATGTATTTTTTTTTTGCAAGTTGTAGGGAAGATACAGACAAAATGCTGTCTACCTGTTTGGCAATTATCCACTTCCCCTGAAAATGACCTTATTGCTGGATCTTTCTTTCTTTCCAACCAAAATGCACACTGGACGAGATAAACACAGTCCCTCTGTAAGCTTAAAGTCAAGGTGCCTGGATGAAGAGGACAGAGACACCACCATGTCTTGCAATACCTAAGGCCATCTTCTGGGTCAATAATATGACAAACCTACTATTTATTGGAAGATGACTATTGCTGCTCTCCATCAAGTCCAATACGGCTGCAGATCATCCTAACTAGGGCCACACAGGCAGGAAAAAGAAGAAAATGAGAGAGGAGGCGGATGGGAAAGGAGGGAAGGAGGTGCCATACCTGGCTTGTGTAGAGGACCAGCTGCACCAACTGAGGCATCAGCGCATCCGCCATGGTCAAGGTCTGGAGGTTGGGGTGCATCAGGGAAGTTAGCAAGACAGGAAGCAAGTGACCCAGCATGGTGGCTTTGGTCACCTGCTCCAGGCCCTTTAACCTGCAATGAGAGGCAGCCCCCAAACCCAGCTTTAGTCCATCTAGTCCAGTGTTAATCAACCTTCCTAATGTCGTGACCCCATAATACAGTTTCTCATGTTGTGGTGACCCCAATCATAAAATTATTTTCGTTGCTACTTCATAACTGTAATTCTGCCACTGTTATGAATTGTCATGGAAATATCTCATATGCAGGATGTATTTTCATTAACTGGACCAAATTTGGCAAAAATACCAGATACACCCAAATTTGAATGCTGGTGGGGTTGGGGGGTTGATTTTGTCAACTGGGAGTTGTAGTTGCTGGGATTTATAGTTAACCTACAATCAAAGAGCATTCTGAACTCCACCAACGATGGAATTGAACCAAACTTGGCACACAGAACTTCCATGACCAACAGAAAATTCTGGAAGGGTTTGACCTTGAGTTTTGGAGTTGTAGTTCACCTACATACAGAGAGCACTGTGGACTCAAACAATGATAGATCTGGACCAAACTTGGTGCGAATATTCAATTTGCCCAAATGCGAACACTGGTGCAGTTCGGGGAAAAATAGACCTTCATATTTGGGAGTTGTGGTTGCTGGGATTTATAAGAAAAGCAACTCATCTGAAACATGGTCTGTGGGTACTTTGTCAAACATAAATAGAAACAAAAGCAAATCATGCCCGGACTCCCTTTAGAAGTTGAGATGACTAAATGAAAGCTGTGGTACCTTAGCCACATCATGAGATGACACAACAGGTGTAAATATCTTTGACATATAATGCTATTCCACCCCTTCCCCTGTTTGGTCTATTTCTCCGAAATATGTTATACCTCCATTGCTATATTCCAAGTATAGAACTTGTCCCACCAGGTCTCAGTTATGTCTATTTCATCGTAAATTTTTTGTCTTGTTAAGAGTTCCAGATCATCCTGTTTATTTCCCATGTGCTTTTCCTGCATGGCAGGGGGTTGGACTAGATGGCCCATGTGGTCTATTCCAACTCTACTATTCTATGATTCTATGAACACATTGGAACAGATGGTAATGTGTAATGAAATGGAAGGTGGCTTTGAGTCCCATTTGGGAGGAGGCAGGATTAAATAAATACAGTTTTCAAAAGCAACATGACAAGAGGAAGACTACACTGCAGGGGGATAGAATCAACTAAGGAAGCCATGATGGCCCTGAGCTTGTAAGACCTGAGCAGAGCTGCAGATGATGGTGATGATGAGAGGCTGGAAGGAGACGTACCTCTGCTCCCGGTCAGGAACCTCACTGTGGATCAACGCAGTGGTGACTTGCTGCAGCATATCTAGGACCTCATCGCACCCTGTCAAGATCTGGGTCGCCAGGGCCAAGATACTAGCCTTGAGCTCCTAAGCGCAAATGAAAATACAGTAAGAAACAGTACAATACTTTGATTCACGCAGCCAAGGAAACAACCCACTTTTTTCAACCCACCAGTCAAGGAAATAAAGAAACACACAAACAAACAAAACACACCATGAGCTTCTGAAGTGAATGGTGATGGCCATGACAATGAAGCCTGACACCAGCTGCTCTTGTTGAGGCCAAGGCTGACGACAGACAGGCAGCAGCTTGTTCGGGAGAGGAAACAATGCCTCGCTCCCTCCATGTTTGAAGGTCAGGCAGCAGAAGGGAGGTCAGTTGTCTGTATCCATACTGAGAATTGAAAATGCTCAGTTCTGCAATACCGTATTATCTACTTTTGTTAATTAAAGGTGCCCCTAGATCAGGCACGGGCAAACTTTGGCCCTCCAGGTGTTTTGGACTTCAACTCCCACAATCCCCAACAGCCTCAGGCACCTTCCTTTTCCCCCTCAGCCGCTTAAGTGAAAAGGAAGGAGCCTGAGGCTGTTAGGAATTGTGGGAGTTGAAGTCCAAAACACCCAGAGGGCCAAAGTTTGCCCATGCCTGCTCTAGATACCTAGAAGGAAATGAACAATTTCACTTAATATGAAGTTCCTGCAAGGAGATGGGGCTCCATTTGAAAGGCCTCTTTCTTTCAAGAAGTGCAGAACAAGGAAGTGCAGGATTTTCCTCCAGAAACTATTGCTCTTACCTATCTGTAAAATACGGCAGATTTAATCCAATGTTTCTTTTTGCAGGACTGTACAATGGATCAATTGGGTAAACAAGCTAAAGGGGGCACAAAAATGTGCACACAGAGACACATTCTTGCCCACCCCTGTTGCTCAGATGGTAAACTCTTCTACTCAAGTCTACTGGACTGGGGAGCGGCATTGCTTGATATTTATCTGCTTATAGGAATGGCCATTCTCTTGCGTAGCTGCAGTGTTTTTTAAACCAAGCAGGGAAGATCACACCCACTTTTTCCCATTTGGGAAACTCCAGTTAGCCAAGAGCACAGCAAGGACCCTGGGCCCAGGCTCGGTAGCATACGTGTCAGGATGGTGACTCCAACCCTGCCTGGGGGCCAGACAAAGAGCCCAACAATCCTAGAAAGGAGGAGAGGGTGGAAGCAGCTGCAGAGAGAAACTGAGGAAAAAAACAACAACAAAACCAAAGGTGTTGGCAAAGATGAGAGACAGCATGGAGGTACTAAGCATCATACATTCACCGACGCACCTGAGGGCCCCGTAGAGGGCAGGTCTACAAATACGCCAACAAAGGGCTCAAAGGACAGCAATGGAAAGATAAGCATTTTGTCATATTATGTTAGTGACTAATAGATGGAGGGGAGAGTTCACTCATGTTCTCCAAACTCTTACAAAGCCAGAGCTTTGCTGTCAACCTGAGTGGTGCAACTAGTATGAGGGTGAGTCAAAAAGTAATGCCTCCATAGCTGTAACTTTTATTTCTTTTACAGCTACTGGACTATCGATGCATGATAATATAGGTAACCTTACTCTACTGATATAGTCTTCTCTTGTTCGGATTGACTGATTAGAACCATGAATCTGAAGCTAAAAGAAAGACTCTTCATTGAATTTCTGGCCAAAGAAGGTTGTTCACCTAAGGAAATCCATCATTGTTTGAAGAATATTTATGATTTGGCCCCTTCTGACTTTGACCTGTTTGGACCTCTGAAAGACAACCTACGTGGTTTCAGATTCAATGACTTGAATGACGTTAAAACAACTTTGAAATCATGGGTCATGAAGCAAAAAACTGAATTTTTCCAAAATGGTTTTGCTGCCTGGGTTAAATGATGGCACAAATGTGTCCAAATTGATGGTGACTATGTTGAAGGGTAGTTTTACGTAGAGGAGAGTTCAGGCTATGATCTGTAGCTACTTCTGGCGTTACAGGTCCATTCATAACGTTTTTATGACATAGGAGGCAAAACTTTTTGACCTACCTGTGTATAATGAAAAGAGATGATTTCCTCTTTTTGAAAGACTCAGTGGCTCAGTTAAAGTGACAGTTCTGGGCTACAAGGATGGTCACCTAGGGCAGGAACCTCATCCAAAATGGTTCATTAAAATTAATTGATAGAATGAATGAGGAACTTATAGGATCCAGGTGTTTATAGTCTTGTAACTTGTGAGGGTCAGTGACAGTAAAACCAAGTGGTTTTTGCTGCACTGTATGAACAGCACCCAGAAGAAAGTCCATAGAAAGCTTGCAAAGCATAAAGGATCCTGGGCTACCAGAGGAGGGACACCCCACCCTGAAGAATGGAGGCTGCCGTGCAAAAGGGAGCTGACGATTTCGATCCCCAAATTACACGGAGACAATGAAAGGCGACAAGACGGCACAGAAAGGCTATACTCATCGGCGGAACTGCAGAGGTACGGGGGCCGGAAGAGAGCAAGAGCTGTCGAAAGAGGCAGTGGAATTCAATCTTGGTGTTTACCTGTACCTTCAATGTCTCTCCCTGCAAGGAGCTGTCACTGTCATCGTTTTCGTCAGGCTTAATCAAAATGGTATTACTCAGAAGATGGTTCTGTACAGCCATCAGGTACCGCAGGCAGGAGGAGGCAGCCTTCAAGACAAACGAGCAGCATTGGCATGATCCTCTCCACATGGCAAGGACAAAATCGGGGCAGAAAAAGCGATGTGCTGTTTTGGAAAGGCGGAGGAAGAGAACCAACGGGATGGGGAGAAACGCTACATATTCTCTTCCTGGACTGAGACAGAAGGATGGAAGGGAAGACAAGCTAAAATGGGGAAGAGGTGCTGAATGTTGTTGGAGATTGTCTAGACTAGGTTCTTGTGGGTTTTTTCGGGCTATAGGGCCATGTTCTAGAGGCATTTCTCCTGACGTTTCGCCTGCATCTATGGCAAGCATCCTCAGAGGTGAGGTCTGTTGGAAATAGGACAATGGGTTTATATATCTGTGGAATGGCTGGGGTGGGGCAAAGAGCTCTTCCTTGCTAGAGCTAGGTGTGAATGTTTCAACCTTCATTAGCATTTGAAGGCCTGCCTGAGCCTGGGAAAATCTCCTGTTGAGAGGTGTTAAGCTGTGCCTGGTTGTTTCCTCTCTGCTGTTTTTGCTGTTGTAATTTTAGAGTTTTTTTAATACTGGTAGCCAGATTTTGTTTATTTTCATGGTCTCTTCCTTTCTGTTGAAATTGTCCACATGCTTGTGGATTTCAATGGCTTCTCTGTGTAGTCTGACATGGTGGTTGTTGGTGTGGTCCAGCATTTCTGTGTTCTCAAATAATATGCTGTGTCCAGGCTGGTTCATCAGGTGCTCTGCTATGGCTGACTTCTCTGGTTGAAGTAGTCTGCAGTGCCCTTTCATGTTCCTTGATTCGTATTGTATTTGGGCAATCAGCGGTTGGTGCTGGGTGGGGGGGGGGGTCGTTGATTTGGTAAGTACCATTATATGTAGAATGTCCACTAGCTGCATGAAGTATACGCGTAGTAGACTTACCCTGGGATTAAATAAGATATCACAAGCTTTTCCTCAGCAATATATCTTGCATTTAGTGTGCTTTGTTATGTGGCAAGGTGAACTGAACCACCTAAATTGGACTCTACAGGCCAATGGATACTCCACCATAGACATCAGAAGAGCTGCAAGATCAAGAACAACCCACAAGAGTAAAGACAAAGATCCACCCAGAGGAAAAGTGTTCTTGCCATACATCAAGGGAACCACTGACTATAGGGAAGCTGATGAAGAAACACAACATACAAATGATCTACAGACGCATGAAGAAAATCCAACAAATGCTATGTTCAGCAAAGAACAAGAGGGATCCTCACCTCTGCAGGAGTCTACTGTATACCATGCAGCTGTGGACAAGTCTACATAGGGACCACCAAACGCAGCGCCCAAACACGAATCAAGGAACATGAAAGGCACTGCAGACTACTTCAACCAGAGAAGTCAGCCATAGCAGAGCACCTGATGAACCAACCTGGACACAGCATATTATTTGAGAACACAGAAATGCTGGACCACACCAACAACCACCATGTCAGACTACACAGAGAAGCCATTGAAATCCACAAGCATGTGGACAATTTCAACAGAAAGGAAGAGACCATGAAAATGAACAAAATCTGGCTACCAGTATTAAAAAACTCTAAAATTACAACAGCAAAACAGCAGAGAGGAAAAACCAGGCACATCTTAACACCTCTCAACAGGAGATTTTCCCAGGCTCAGGCAGGCCTTCAAATGCTAATGAAGGTGGTCAATTGAAACATTCACACCGAGCTCTAGCAGAGAAGAGCTCTTTGCCCCACCCCAGCCATTCCACAGATATATAAACCCATTGTCCTAATTCCAACAGACCTCACTACCTCTGAGGATGCTTGCCATAGATGCAGGCGAAACGTCAGGAGAAATGCCTCTAGAACATGGCCCTATAGCCCAAAAAAACCCACAAGAACCTAGTGATTCCAGCCATGAAAGCCTTTGACAATACATTGTCTAGACTGTTTCTTTACCTGCCTTTAAAAGGCTGGTTTACAAATTGGCAAAGTACAGCCAGGAAAGGAGTCTAGCTAGGGGAATGAAACGAGATATCCTCTTTAATGCCATTTCAGCCAGTACTGTGTGTTGGGAAAGCATAATGGGACTAAAGGAGAAATCTCCCTTTCATTTCAAAATAAACCCAAACTAGTTTGATCTAGGGCTGTTTGCCCACTGACAGCCTAACATTCCTCTGGAGGCTGCTGCAAAGGGAAAAGGGTGGGATGTAAGCAGCTCCTTGGGAGAAGGGCTTGGAGAAGATAGATATTACACAAGAATAGATATTATACAAGAAAATGGTTCCATTCATGTCCCATTTTGAGTTCCCACCCCACTCTTCTACAGAGGCAGCTTAACGACTGAATAAAATACAGGGTGAAATAAAATCAAAGTCATGTGAAAACATCAGCCTCGGCTGACCACTGGATTCGTGGTGGATGGGAATACTTTTTTTATGTCAGGAGTGACTTGAGAAACTGTAAGTCACTCCTGGTGTGAGAGAATTGGCCGTCTGCAAGGACAGTGCCCAGGGGATGCCCAGATGTGTTACCATCCTGTGGGAGGCTTCTCTCATGTCCCCACACGGGAAGCAGGAGCTGAAAGACAGGAGCTCACCCCGCTCGTCCAGATTCGAACTGCCAACCTTTCGGTCAGCAGTCCTACTGGCACAACGGTTTAACCCATTGTGCCACTGGAGGCTCCATCTGGCATCTCAACATTCATTCTTGGGCTGCAATGCTCCCAGCCTAGCCCTACTTGGTCTTGCAGAGATGGCCACTCCACCTCTCTCATGACAGCACCCCCCAAAGAAGAGCCCGCAGCCGGGCAGCATTACTCACAGGCACAGTCGAGAGGAGCCTCTGAAATTCATCTCTGGATACCGTTTGGCACTTGGTGATTAAGATACAAGACTCGCGAACAACAATCTTGAGAATGTAGTGCAAAAGTTCATCGTTTAATCTTTAAAATGCAGGAAAAACATGGGGAAATGGTGAGGGCTTCCCAGGGCACGCCAAGAACATGCATGTGTAAACTGCACTCAGTACTCCACACGTCAAGCAGCAGCGACTCGCACAACACTGGCTCTCGTCTGTTCCTTGACATCACTTTATTTATTTATTTTATGTATTTCGTACATAAAATAAATAGGACTCAGGGCAGCTTCACAATAAGCACTCATTCAAGTGCTAACCACAGTCATAGACACATTTAAAACAGGTCATTAAAATACAGTACATTAAAAACATTTTATTAAAATCACACCACTTTAAAAATCATTGTCTGGGACAGTCCATTGTCATACATATCATATTGCATCTTATCCCATTTGCTGCTATTACTGTTCAAATGCTTGGTCCCATAACCAGGTCTTTAGTTTCTTTCTAAAGGACAGAAGGGAGGAGACCAGTCTGATGTCACTGGGAAGGGAGTTCCACAACCGAGGGGCCTCCACAGAGAAGGTCCTGTCTCTCGTTTCCACCAGTCGTGTTTGCGATTGTGGTGGGATTGAGAGCAGGACCTCTCCAACTGATCTTAAACTTCGTGATGGTTCGTAAAGAGAGATACATTCGGACAGGTAATCTGGGTCAGGACCGCACAGGACTTTAAAGGTTAAAACCAGCACTTTAGATGGCTCAGAGTCGAAGAAACGAGCAAGCCACCCAAAGCAGAGCTTCCCAGAGCACTTTGTGGCCCAAAGAGTGCATCTGCTCCCATGTCTATAAGCCTGATGCAGTTTAAATTGATGATCTATTTCAGACCTGAACAGCACGATGCTTAACTGATTTAAATGTGGCCCCTTACTACTGCCTGGTTGCATAGGTCTGATCTATTGGATTTTTTAGCTGTCTCTCTGACCTAGGAACTGTAGTCTATTTTATCCTGTGTTTCTATAAGAAAGGCATTGATCACAGGACTTAACTGAGGCTTTTCATAAGTACGTACAAAGCAATCTTATCAATAAGTCTCCCCACAAAAAACTTTCAGAACATGCTAATTATGTCTCCAAATATAATGAAATGTGTTCTCTTTACCGGTAATGCTCATCATCTTCGCTGCCAAATCTGTTGTTCTGGAGCTGCTCTGCCAGGTTAGTCATGATCACGTCCCGGAGTTGGGCCAGACCACTATTCCTCTCTCCTACAAAGGGATCGTGCAAAGGACAAAGGAGAAGCTGCTGAGAGGACATGGCAATAGATGTCTGATGGTTTTATTGTATCAACTAGGTTGGGTCCCCAGTGTTGTCCAGTTGATTTGAAAAAGTCAAATTTTTAATGGAACGAAATGCATAAGGTTTTGGGTGAACTACAACTCACATCATGCCAGGTTAACATCAACAACCTCCACCAGTACTAAAAGTTTGTTATGTTGGGCAAGTCTGCTCTAGATATATCCTCCGTGTGGTTCAGTGTGCTCTCTGGCTACAGGGTAAACTACAACTCTCACTATGGCGAGTCAGTCCCCTAAAGCAACCAGCAGGTTGAGTTAGTCATGGGGGTTCTATGTGCTGAGTTTGGTCCAGGTCTATCATCGGCAGAGTCACCATTTCTCTGGTTGAGGGTGAATTCCAACTCCCAGGAAGGAAGGTCAGTTTTCCCCAAACTCCTCCAGTATATCAAATTTTGGCATATCAGGTATGTGTGCCTAGTTTGGTTCAGATCCATCAGTGTTTGGTTTCACTGTTCTCTCTGCATATAGGTGAACTACAACTCCCCCAAATCAAGGTGAATTTCCCCCAAAGACCTCCAGTATGTTTTGCTGGTCATGGGGCTCTGTGTGCCAAGTTTAATCCAATTCCATCTTTGGTGGAATTCAGAGTGCTCCTTGATTACAGGTGAACTATAAATCCCAGTGCCTACACCTCAAAAATGTCCAGGCCAATTTCCCTCACAACCCATCAGTATTCAAATTTGGGCATATAGGGTATGCATGCCAAGTTTAGTCAAGCTCCATCATTGTTTGGGTTCATAATGCGCTCTGGATGTAAGTGAACTACAACTCCTATAAATCCCTTCAAAGACGTCCAGTATTTTTTGTTGGTCATGGGGATTCTGTGTGCCAAGTTAGTTCCAGATCCATCATTGGTCGAGTTCAGAGTGCTCTTCGATTGTAGGTGAACTATACATTCGAGTACCTACAAGTCCTATAAATCATGGTGAATTCTCCCCAAACCTCTCTAGTATGTTCAGTTGCTAATCGGTTCCTCTGTTTGCTGTGTGGCATAGAAAAGAATATGAAAGGGTTAAGGAAGAGGCAGTGGGCGGGGTTATGCAAATTCCACACCAGTAGAGAGAGTCAGAAACACTGGGATGCCTGCGGTGGAGGAAACACCCAAAATCTACGAAGGAATTGTGCCCGTATGAAAGCCTTCACTTGGGTGGTGGACAGTATGGTGTTTGTGGAGGACATTGGAAGAGGTCTTGTACATGTTCATGGCACCCACTATAACCTGCAATGTCATTGGAGGGAGGGCCATTGGTGTCTCCTGGGTGGTGGGAGTTATAGATGTTTGTGGAGGCAGGAGCTTGTCTGTGTAAGTGGGCACCCCAGTCACACACACACACACACACATTTTCACTTTTATTATGTGTATAGATAGCTTTATGGATCACAAACATTTCTATCGATAAAGGCAGTGTCATCTCAGACTCCAAAAATGCTTACCTTCTGTTAAGACCAGTTTCAACAAGTTATTGATTTCAACTTCTCCGGGATACAGGATATTCAGACCAGAACTGAAAAGGAGAACAAAGGAAAAAAACCCACATTTAATCAAGAAGAGTCTTTTTGTATCTGAAAGACTGGCAGATTTATGGCAATGTAAGCTTTTGCTTAAAAAGGAAGATGTTATTTTTATGAAGAGACCATGGTGCTATTCTGCTCCGCTCTGTTCAACCAAATTAGAATCCATGGTAGATGCAGTGACCTGACCATGCATTAGATTCCAGCAAAAAGTGATTAACTAATAGTTGAATAGACATTCCACAGATATATAATCCCCACTTGCCTAGTTTCCAACAGACCTCACAACCTCTGGGGATGCCTGTCATAGATGTGGGCAAAACGTCAGGAGAGAATGCTTATGGAAAATGGCCAGACAGCCCGGAACACTCACAGCAACCCAATAAATTATAATACTAGTAATAGATGCATAGCCTCTGTGAGTCTCCTTCAGGAGACATAAAGCGAGGTATAAATAGATACAACAACAACAACAACAACAACAACAACAACAACAACGCACCTGATGGCCAGACAGACTTCCTTCTGGATTTCGGGGCTGATCTGGTCCATGGGGGCCATTAACAGCTGCCACAGCAAGAGGCCCGAGCGTCTCACAATATCCCGATGCTTTTCAGTTTGAGGGCTAAAGAAGAATTTGAAAACCACCTGCAAGGACAAGCATTGGGGTAGGTTGGAGAAGAGAGAAACGCTGAAAGATCTCTTCAAAAGAAGCCTCCCACAATGATTCATAGCCTAAGCCTTGCGACAGTCTGGAGGAGTCTAGCAGCTCAAGGTGAGAAGCAAAGAAGGAAACCAGTCCCAAGAGAGAGAGTTCAATAGAAACATCCTCCTGCTTTTCCTTCCTTTGCCCTGAGCTGCAAAGGCCAAACCAAAGACATGGATCTCACAAGGCCTCCAAAAGCGGGGCAAGCTTGACTTTTGCGCAATTTTTAAAAAATTATTTTTTTTAAAAAATTAATTGCTCAATAAACAGATCTATGAGTGAACAGTAAATAATCCATACATTACACTATAGAACAAAATTTGAAAAAAAAAATCTGTTTCTGGTATGACAGTGTTATTTCCTGTTCAATTGTGGGGTCCTGACTTTGAAAGTAGATTTTCTACTCCAAAAACTTTTGTTTTTGTGAATGCTGCAAACTATGTTAACGTGAGCAAAATGTGCTATGGGAGGTCCTGCAAAAACAAAGTTTTTCCAGTTTATTAAACTTTCCCCATGTTTTTATGATAATATCAATTAGGAAATGACATTTATAACCCAGGAATAAAAATCATGTTACATAGTGTTACAATGTCAACACATCCTATATCATAAATCAGTACTAATCAGCTTCCACTTTATTCACAGAGTTAAGAGGGGTCATCCAGTCACATGGCGAAGACAGAAGAACAGCCTCTGCCTCAAGGAGCACGCTTGCTCCATCAATGTTCAACATTTACACAAATGATCAGCCACTGCTAGAAGGGAAAGAGAGTTTCATCTATGCTGACGATCCTGTCATCACCGCTCAAGCAGGGAGCTTTGAAATGGTTGAACAGAAGCTCTCCAAAGCTTTAGGAGCCCTTACTGCCTATTACAGGAAAACCAGCTGGTTTCTAATCCATCTAAAATGTGTGCTTTTCATCTTAAGAACAGACAAGTATTTCGCGCTCTGAGGATTCCCTGGGAAGGAATCCGACTGGAGGATTGCAGTACACCAAAATATGTGGGAGTCACACTGGACCATGCTCTGACTTACAAGAAGCAATACTTGAATATCAAGCAGAAAGTGGGTGCTAGAAATAATATCGTATGAAAGCTGACTGGCACAACCTGGGGATCACAACTAGACATGGTGAAGTCATCTGCCCTTGTGCTTTGCTACTCTGTTGCTGAATACGCATACCTAGTGTGGAATACATCTCACCACATTAAAACAGTGGATGTAGCTCTTAATGAGATATGCCACACTATCACAGGATGCCTATGCCCTACGCTGTTGGATAAATTATACTGTTTAGCTGGTATTGCACCACCTGACATCTGTCGGGAAGTAGCAGCCAATAATGAAAGGACCAAGGCATGGACATCTCTGGCCCATCCTCTGCTTGGATATCAGCCAGCAAGCCAATGCCTTAAATCAAGAAAATAGCTTTCTAAGATGTACAGAGATACTCGCAGGAAACATAGGTTGCTTACCTGTAAACATGTTTCTTCGAGTATACTGTCTGTGAAATGCGCACATATGGGTTTATTGCTGCGCATGCGTGGGGATAAACCCATATGTGCGCATTTCACAGACAGTACGAAGTAGAACACCTTAGCAAGAAAGAGTCCAAAAGTGGCAGGCTAAAACCCAAAACCTCAATCAGTGGCTGAGACTGGATGGGAGACTCCCTCCTGTGCCCACAGAATATGGGGTGACTTGGAACGCTCTGAGCAGACTGCGCTCTGACACCATGAGATGCAGAGCCAATCTTAGGAAATAGAGTTACAAAGTGGAGTCCACAACATGCAAGTGCGAAGAAGAGCAAACCACAGACCACTTACTACAATGCAACCTGGGCCCTGCCACATGCACAATGGAGGACCTTCTCACAGTGATACCTGAGGCACTTCAAGTGGCCAGCTTCTGGTCAAAAGAAACTGAGCATAATGCCAATTTTTTAACTTTGTGGGCTTTTTATACATTATAACTGTATTCTCAATTTGCTTCTGACACGATAAACAAATAATCCAGTCACATTATTTTTCCATCACTTGCTAAGGGTCATAGAATTATAGACTCCTTGATCTGGAAAAGACGTCCAAAAGCCATTCAGTCAACCTGCTTCTACCATAAAGAACCATCCCAGCCCTCACGACAGATTGCCCTCCAGCTCTTGTTTAAAAACTTCCAGAGAAGAAGACTCTATCATCACCATGATCATTATTATTTTTACTATTATTATTAATAATAATAGTTATTATTGAGTCATACAGTTGGAAGAGACCCCAACGGCCATTGTGTCCAATCCCATTCTGCCATGCAGGAAAATACAAACCAAACCCTCCCGACAGATGGCCATCCAGCCTCTGCTTAAAAACCTCGAGAGAAGGAGACTCCACCCTGATCCAAGGCAGTGAGTTTCACTGCCAAACAGCTCTTACCATCAGCTCTTCCATCTGAAATGGCATGGTACCCCTCCAACCTAACTTTTCCTTCTTGTACGCACCTGGAAGACCACTAGGATGCAATGGATAATGCAGGTGTCTCCATTGACCATGGCTTTCTCCATAATGTCGCAGATGCTGCTGAGATGATGAGCCTCGATGGGGTGCTGCTTGCCCAGGAAATTGGTGAGGGGAAGGTTGTTGCTTGCGGCCAGTAGGTTGAGCTGATGGATACACATTGCACCAACATGGTGCAGTAATTGGTTGATCACCTCATTTGTGGTCGTGGCATCTCCTGGAAGAGGAAGGGATGTTGCAAGGAATGATGCAGGATTTCCCCAATTACCAGCAGAGACCTTTTGTACGCAAAGGTCTTCCCAGTAAAACTCCAGAATGTCAACCTCCCCACAGGAAAAGGACAGTTCCTCATGGAACTCAACCACATCCTGCACAAGTTGATAGTCCTCATCGAGGAAATAGGTAGGCAGGTGAGTTAAGCCCATCCCACATTGCCTTCTGTGTCTGCCTCTTTCTTTCTTTTCTCCTCCAATTTCTCTGGTCCCTTCTACACTGCCATATAATCCAGATTATCAAAGCAGATCATTCATATGATCTGCTTTGAACTGGATTATATGAGTCTACACTGCCACATAATCCAGTTCAAAGTAAATAATCTGGATTTTATGTTGCAGTGTTGAATGTGGCCTCTGTTTGTTAGGTTGATCCTTCTCAGAGACATGCCTCTTTTGATTCCAAGTTTCCGCACAAGCCACTGAGTCCTCCATTTTCTTCTTTTTGAGCATGGAGAAAGCAAGGTGTCTCCAGAGAGAGATATAGTTAGATAGCTAGGTCCAAACTTTCTTATATAGAAATGTAGTTCTTGCAATAACATTTGTAACTCTTAAGGCTTGACTCTGCTCCTGATGTTGCTGAAGCTCATTTGCTCTACTGCTAGGTTCAAGAAGCTTCTGATCTGCGAAAATGGTTGTTGCTGATTTGCTTTTTCAAACGCTTTGGCCTTTTTAAATTGCCCAATGGTCTCTTCTTCTGGTTCCTTGGGAAGGTGGAGTGTGGCTTCAAGGCCACACTCCTCCATCTAAGCCAATACTCTTCCATCTAGGCCAGTGGTTCTCAATCTTCCTAATGCCGCAACCCCTTAATACAGTTCCTCATGTTGTGGTTATCCCCAACCATAAAATTATTGTCATTGTTACTTCATAACTGTAATTTTGCTACTATTATGAATTGTAATGTAAATATCTGATATGCAGGATGTATTTTCATTCACTGGACAAAATTTGGCACAAATACCAGATATGTCAAAATTTGAATACTGGTGGGGTTGGGAGGTGGGGATTGATTTTGTCATTTGGGAATTGTGGTTGAAGGGATTTATAGTTAACATACCATCAAAGAGCATTCTGAACTCCACCAACAATGGAATTAAACCAAACTTGGCACACAGAATTCCCATGACCAACAGAAAATACTGGAAGAATTTGGTGGGCATGGACCTTAACTTTTGGAGTTGTAGTTTACCTACATTCACAGAGCATTGGGGACTCAAACAATGATGGATCTGAACCAAACTTGGCATAAATACTCAATCTGCCAAAATGTTGAATGCTGGTGCAGTTTGGGGAAAATAGACCTTGACATTTGGGAGTTGTAGTTGCTGGGATTTATAGTTCACCTACAATCAAAGAGCATTCTGAACCCCACCAATGATAGAATTGGGCCAAACTTCCCAAATAGAACCCCCATGACCAACATAAAATATTGTGTTTTCTGATGGTCTTTGGCGACCCCTCTGACACCCCTTCGCAACCCCTCCCCAGAGATCCCGACCCCCAGGTTGATATACTCTTATCTAAGCCAACACTCGCCTTTTGGCTCCATAATGATATGGCTGACGCCTAGTCTTTGGCAGACATAATGGAAAGCCTGGTTGCCAGGATTGCACCACTGGTCAATATAGTCATTTGAGCAGGTCCAGATCATATTGTTCATTGCGTCGTAGCACGCACCTGAGTAAGAAGAAGAAAGGGCTCTGATCAAAAGGGATCTACAATGCAAAAGAGGGAGATGTCTACCTAAATTCACAAATGCATTGAGGTTGGTCACGACCCCCTCTGCCTGTTCTATACACACCAATCCAGAGCTGAGTGCAGCAGTTGAGACCACAAAGATCCCTGCTGCTCACATTGAGATAGTGCTGCCACCTCCTATCTCTGCACTGCTTTGCATCTACTGCTTGTTCCCAAAACTGTTGTTCATCTGTAGTACTGAGAAGTTGGAATGCTTTTATACCTTCTGTGACGGCCTATAGAATCACAGAATCCTAGGACCTTGTTGCATTAGGAAATACTCCATTTCTGGGACTGTTTGAGAATGATTTCAAATAGGTCCCCATCACATGACATTGGCCCCGTCCCATTGGTATTCCGTTGGAATCCATCTGCAAAGCATCACAGAAACTGATTATTTGCATTCTAATTGTGTTTTTTGAATTTCTACAGATTCTTCCAGTGCTGAAGTGCTGCTTTTGTGTACAATAGGAAAATCTGTATGCATCCCATCAGCAACGATACTACTTATCATCCATGGGCAGTCTCATGACCACAGATTTTTCATGATGGAAGTGGCTGCCATTCGGGACTTCTGCGCAATCTTAGGGGAAAAAAACTTTTTAAAAGGTCATAGAGTGATGTAGAGGGTTGTTTTGAATTGATTGGGAGGAGCCAGACTTGTGATGAGTATTTTCAAATCATAAGAATCATATTAAACAGGTGTGATGAGTATGCATCCTGTCTCAATACAGTATGAATCCACTCCTAAAAAAATATGGGATGCATACTGATATAAATGGATTATATCCCAGTGTAATAAGGTTCCTAGAATTGGAAGAGATCCCCAAAGGCCATCCACTCCAACCCTCATCTTCCAGGCAGGAAAAGCACCATCAAAGTACCCCCGATAGATGGCCAGCAGCCTGTGTTCAAAAAGCCTCCAAAGTAGGAGCCTCCATGGGACCCTGAGGCAGAGTTCCACTGTTGAATAGCTCTCCTTATGGTCGGGAAGTTCTTCCTAATGTTCAAGTGGAATCTTCTTTCCTCTGATTTGAACCCATTGCTTCACTGAGTCCTAGTCTTGAGGAAACAAGCCTGCTCCCTCTTCTTCAATGTGACATCCTGTCAGATATTTAAACATGGCTCTCATGTCTCCTCTGAACCTTCTCTTCTGCAGTATAAACAGTCCAGCCCAATAGTTGAGGTAATGGTTAGAATTCCTGCAGCTAATAGACTTCAGCTAAATGCATACAATGTTCTCAACTTTATCGTCCTGCTCTTCCTTTGGGCAGTTGCTTCTAGGGTGTCTCCCAATGATTTCTGGCTGGAGAAAGGCATACTCTGGAGTCCCTGAAGCATTACTGGCCTTAGCAGGCAGCATCTGAAAGGCGCCTCTGATTCCTTACCCAAACCAGGAACGAGAGCACCACGTCCCAGGGAGCTTCCGGCTGCATCGATGAGATCCGCCCGGCTTGCAAACTGTCCATCCGAGATGTTGTACACCAAACTCGATGCCAGAACTTGAAACAAAGAGCCAGCGATTAATTCCTTGGTAGCTCACATATTTCTCAGAGCTATGCTGCATCATCATCAATTCTTATTCTTACTATGCATTATGCACAACTGGAGCTTAACCCTTCTGGCTAGCTAGGAACTTAACTGGAAAGCACACCTTTTGATTCCTGCTCCTTTGGAGACTTTTGGGTGCGAAGGAAAAAGCATGGTCAACCAGGCCATAACAGGAATATAATAATAATATAATAACTTTATTTTTATATCCCACCAACCATCTCCCCAAGGGGACTCGGGGTGGCTTACAAGAGACAAGCCCAAAAAGTTACAAATAAAACACAAACAATTAAAAACATCAGATAAAATATAAAAACAATCACAATCGTAAACAACATCAACACAATATGGCTGAGAAAAGGAACATAGCTGAGGTTCAGACTCAGTGAGTGCAAGACATCCTGAAGGGAGTGCAAGGAAAGTGCAACAATCAAGTAGACTGGGAATACTGTTATCAAAAGTGTTGAGGTAGATGGTAAGAGGGCCGACATAAAGTGCTGAACTTAAAGTAGGGACAGGATAATTCCTGATGGACTGCTTCATCAAAAGCACACCGGAACATCCAGGTTTTTAGTTGTCTCCAAAAAGAGGACAAAGAAGGAGCCTGTCTGATCTCCCTAGGGAGTTCCAGAGCCGAAGAGCCACCACCAAGAAGGATCTCTCCCTCGTCCCCACCAACTGTGTTTGAGACGGTGGAGGGAGAGAGAGCAGTGCCTCCCCAGATGATCTCAGGGTAAGCACTGGTTCATAGGGGAAGATGCGATCGTGGAGATAAGCAGGTTCCAAACCATTTAGGACTTTATAGGCAATAACCTACACCTTGAATTGGGACTGGAAACTTATTGGAAGCCAGTGGTGCTGTTTAAACAGGGGGTAGACCGCTCCCTGTAACCAGCTCCCGTAAGTAGTCTGGCTGCAGACCTTTGGACCAACTGTAGTTTCCGGGCCGTCTTCAAGGGCAACCCCACATAGAGCATCTTCAAGGGTACCCCACATGCTCTTGAGCACTCTCATATCCATAATAATAAATCTCCCCAAGGAGCCTCAGAGCAGATTACAGAATACATATACAGCAAACATTCACTGCCATTATACAATTAACAACAGAAACAGACAGTACATATACCAGTGGTTCCTAACCTTTGGTCCTCCAGGAGTGCTGGACTTCAACTTCCAGAAATCCCAGCCAGCTTACCAGCCGTTAGGAACTGTGGGAGCTGAAGTCCAAAACACCTGGAGGACCAAAGGTTGGGAATCACTGACATAGACAGAAGCAAGGTTTCCCTCTTTTTCATCTCCGGCATCTGGAGACTGTGCTCAACTCAGCCATGGGGAGGTACTGTTGTTCCATTTTTCCACGTCGAGGAGCCTGTTGTCCATGGATGTCTTCCTGATCGAATTGCTGGTATATTTTTCTGGGACGCTTTTTACCTCCCCCATCAAAGCAGTACCTATTTATCTACATACATTGCTATTTTCGAACTGCTAGGTAAGCAGAAGCTAGGGCTGATGGCGGGAACTTACTCCAACCCATGGTTTGAACTGCCAAGCTTCTGGTCAGCAAGATCTTCTGTAGCTGTCGGTTTAACGTGCTGTGCTAACCACGGCCCATTCATCCTTACTATTTCAGGTGCAACTCTCTACTGCTCCAAATGCTCACTGGCAAGCCCTTTCTCCACCTCTCCTCATTATCAAGTTTATTTCTGTATTATTTTGTCCATAGGAATATAATGCTCAAAACAGCATAAGATGTCAACAAATGCGCAATCAAATGCAGTAACACTGACAGGTAGCACAACAATATTATGTAGACATTTAAGGAGTTCTGTAAATGGCCAACACAGCTCGTGTTAATAAAACCACACTAAGACTAAAAAAATGGGGCCACAGTGGTGCAGCAGGTGAAAACCACTAAGCTGCAGAACTTACTGACCAGCAGTTCGAATCTGTGGAACGGGGTGAGCTCCCATTGTTAGCCCCAGCTCCTCGGTTCAAAAACATGCAAATGTGAGTAAATCAATAGGTATCGCTTTGGCGGGAAGGTAACGGTGCTCCATGCAGTTGGCTCTTCGGCTTAGAAATGGAGATAAGCACCACTCTCCAGAATCGGACTTGACTAGACTTAATCTCAAGGGAAAACCTTCCTTTAACTAAGATGAAATAATCCTCTCATTAGTCACACCAAGGCTTAGCAAAAGAAATACCTCTGCCAAAAATTTTTCAAAATAGTGGCAAAAAGAATACAGAAATGTTCATGGACAGGCGCGGTCTCAAAAAGGTGCAGAGAGAGAAATGGCCTTAAACCCTGAACTGGAAACAAGGTCCAGATATAGCTAGGAAATGAACAGAATACCATGTTTGCAAACAAGGAAGGCGGGAAAAGGAGAACAAAAGCTGGCAAGAACCTACTCTTCAAGGAGGACAATCCGCTGGTCCCGCCAAAGAGTGACCGGGTGGCCGAGCTGCCAGAACCGCCTGGGGGTGGGACCAGCATTACCAAATACGTCCCGCAGGTGTAGATCGGGGTCTTCCGAAGCATTTTGAGAGGCAGGCCACAACTCGTGTTTGCAGCTGGGAAAGGAAAAGAACAACAACAGAAATGGTATGAAGCCAAGCAATGACGGTGTCAGGAAAAAAACCGGAATGTTGAGGACAACACTTGGAAAGATTATGCAGGAAATAAATGTCCCTTGGAGTCTGCCTATCAACATACTATAAACCTCAAAAAATAGAAGTTTGAGAGATTTGATCTTCAGCAGCTATCTGGGAAAGTTTTTTTAAATGGACTATAAGAATATTATCATGGTTAAATGATTATGGTTAAATCAGATATGATTATGGTTAAATTAGACAAGTTTTTGAATCCAAGAATTGTAGATGGGAAATATTGGTCTGCACCCGAAAAATTTATTTATTTATTTATTTGGTGCATTTATTGACCGCCGCTCTCAGCCCTAGGGCGACTCGCGGCGGTATACAGCATATAAAAACAGTTTACAAAAACAGAAACAAGCAATCCACACAACAATAATATACAATACTATAAGTTACACTAAATAATCCGCTCCGTCATATCATAGAATCATATCCAATATCGTAGTCCATATTCCGTTCCAGATGTCAATTGCCAGTTGCCGTAATATTCAGTTAAATGCCTTCTCGAAAAGCCAGGTCTTTAGGCTCCTGCGGAAGGACAAAAGGGAGGGCGCCTGTCTGATGTCAACAGGGAGGTCGTTCCACAGCCGGGGGGCCACCACCGAGAAGGCCCTCTCTCTCGTCCCCGCCAGGCGTGCCTGTGAAGCAGGCGGGATCGAGAGAAGGGCCTCCCCAGATGATCTCAAGGTCCTCGTGGGCTCATAGGCCGAGATGCGGTCCGAAAGGTATTTTGGGCCGGAACCGTTTAGGGCTTTGTAGGATAACACCAGCACCTTAAATTGGGCCCGGTAGCAGATCGGCAGCCAGTGGAGCTGGACAACAAGGGCGTTGTATGCTCCCTGCGTCCCGCTCCTGTTAGTAACATGGCTGCCGCGCTGGACTAGATGAAGCTTCCGGGCCGTCTTCAATGGGCAGCCCCACGTAGAGAGCGTTGCAGTAGTCAAGGCGGGATGTGACCAGAGCGTTACCCACCCAAGCCATTGCTTTGTGGTTTCCTTCCCCCCCCCCCCCCCCCCCCCCCCCCCCTCTTCCCAGCGCCTAGTCAGACTTCCCAAGATACGGGCGCAGCTGGCGCACGAGCCGAAGCTGTGCAAATGCTCCCCTGGTCACCCCTGAAACCTGGGGATCCAGGCTCAAAGATGAATCCAGGGTCACACCCAAGCTGCGAACCTGCGCCTTCAAGGGGAGTGCGACCCCGTCCAGCACAGGCTGTAACCCTATACCCTGTTCGGCCTTGCGACTGACCAGGAGTACCTCTGTCTTGTCTGGATTTAATTTCAGTTTGTTCGCCCTCATCCAGACCATTACAGCGGCCAGGCACCGGTTCAGGACCTCGACAGCCCCCTTAGTAGCAGGTGGAAAGGAGTGACAGAGTTGGACATCATCTGCGTACAGATGACACCGCACCCCGAAACTCCGGATGATCTCACCCAGCGGCTTCATGTAGATAACAGCATGGGGGACAGTATAGAGCCCTGTGGAACCCCACAGGTCAAAGGCTGTGGTGTTGAACAGGAGTCTCCCAGTAACACCTTCTGGGTACGACCCTCGAGGAATGAGCGGAGCCACTGCAAAACAGTACCTCCAAGACCCATCCCCGCGAGGCGTCCCAGAAGGATACCGTGGTCGACGGTATCGAAGGCCGCTGAGAGGTCCAGCAGCACCAACAGGGACACACTCCCCCTGTCGAGCTCCTGGCGCAGATCATCCACTAAGGCGACCAAGACTGTCTCAGTTCCATGTCCCGGTCTGAAACCAGACTGTGCCGAATCCAGATAATCCGTGTCTCTCAAGAATACCTGGAGTTGTGAGGCCACCACGCTTTCCATGACTTTGCCCAAAAAGGGGAGATTGGAAACAGGCCGAAAGTTGTCAAATTTAGTGGGGTCCAGTGATGGTTTCTTCAACAGCGGTTTTATAATTGCTTGTTTTAAGCACGCTGGAATCTTGCCTTCCCGAAGGGAGGCATTAACCACCACCGTTACCCACTCAGCCAATCCCCCTCTGGCCTCCTTCAGAAGCCAGGCTGGGCAGGGGTCTAGGATGGACGTGGTGGGCCTCATTCCTCCAAGTATCTTGTCCACATCCTCGGGTTTCACAAACTGAAAAGAATCCATCAAAATAGGACAAGCAGGTGCTCGTGTCACATCCTCAGAGACTGCATTTAACATGGTGTCCAGCCCAGAACGGATCAAAGCGACTTTGTCTGCGAAGAACCGAGCAAATGCTTCACAGCGCGTGATCGAATTGTCAGGGCTCCCGCCTGAGGTGGCGGGAGTTAAAAGACCTCTGACAATCCGAAACAATTCCGCCGGACGGTTTTTTGCAGACGCAATAGTGGCCGCAAAGAAAGCTTTCTTTGCGGCTTTTATTGCCGCGGCATATGCCCTTAAAAAGGACACAAACCGTGTTCGATTTTCAATAGTGACCGCAAAGAAAGTTTTCTTTGCGGCTTTTATTGCCGCGGCGTATGCCCTTAGAAAGGACACAAACCGTGCTCGATTTGGCTCGCTTGGGTCCAAACGCCACACGCTCTCTAGTTCCCTCTTCCTTCGCTTCATCACTGCCAGCTCCTCAGTAAACCAAGGAGCTGGTTTAGCTCGGCTACTTGAGAGGGGACGTTCCGGAGCGATCATGTCAATTGCCCTGGTCATCTCCCCATTCCAGAGAGCGACCAAGGCCTCGACATGGTCACCTACCGAGGTGGCGGGAAAATCCCCAAGAGCCGTCAGGAATCCATTCGGATCCATAAGCCTCCTGGGGCGGACCATCTTAATGGGTCCTCCACCTTTGCAGAGGTTAGGGGACGCAGTGAGCCTAAATCTGATCAGGAAGTGGTCAGTCCATGGCAACGGAGAGATAGACAACTCCTCCACACCGCCACCCTGCTCCCATCCCTGGCAGAAAACCAAGTCCAATGTGTGTCCAGCACAGTGGGTGGGGCCAGATATTTGTTGGGACAGCCCCATGGTTGCCATGGCAGACATGAAGTCCTGAGCCGCACCTGTGAGGGTCGCCTCGGCGTGGATGTTGAAGTCTCCCAGCACAAGAAGCTGTTGAGACTCCGACACCAGGCTCGAGACCACCCCCGCTAGCTCAGGTAGGGAGACCAACGCCAGGCTCGAGACCACCCCCGCTAGCTCAGGCAGGGAGACTGTAGTGCAGCGAGGTGGACGGTACACTAACAGAATCCCTATTCTGTCCCGGTCACCCACCCTCAGGTGGACGCATTCAAAATTTGTGGTCTGCGGGATGGGACTCCTGGTCAGATGGATGGAATCTCTATAGACCACTGCGACCCCGCCTCCCCGTCCTCCGGATCTCGGTTGGTGCTGTACGGAGAAGCCTGGAGGACAAAGCTGGGTAAGATTTACGCCTCCAGCTTCATCCAGCCAGGTCTCCGTAATGCACGCCAGGTCTGCCCGCTCATCCAGGATTAAATCCTGGATAAAGGTCGTTTTTCCGTTGACAGATCTGGCGTTCAACAGCACCACCTTCAATCCAGAGGGCCCGCTCACCTGGTTACACCAATTTACCTTAGGAGACCGGTTTGGGATTATTAATGTAGATAAGTGGTCCGAATTAGGCCGAATTTGAGGTCTCCTTTTTCCGCATCTCCCCCTCCCCACCACGACCTCTATGGGGGCCCCTCGGCTAGTGGAACACCTCCCCTCCTCCATGCCGCGGTCCAAAACCAAGGTCTTAATTTCTGTTTCGCTAGATGTTTGGTTAGTTGGCCCTTGCCAACTCCCTTGCTTCCCTTCCTCCCCCCTCCCCGCCTCATTATTGTTCACCGGTTCCAGCCCACCTCCTCCCTTGCCCCTTCCGCTGGTCAATAATAACAGGGACAATACAAATAGGGGGATGGGGAACCACATGGATAACAATAGAATTCAGACGGTGATAAGCGTTCCAGCCACGTCAGTTAGATAGTTCGTAAAGTGCAAATTCATAAAGTGCAGAGATCTTAAAGTGCAACAGATACCCGACACTGGCATTCAACGCTAACTAAAGTGCGGCATAGAGGGATAAGGAAGGGGGCGTAAGTGCTGGTATAGTTTAGCAGCAGTGGCAGGCGCCTAGGTGCTATAATGCGTTCTTATATCAAATTATTACTACTAATATTGCATATACAGACTTGTGTTTTGTACTAAGCACACACCAAAATTGAAGAAATTTTGTGAAATGACATTAACTAATCAGAGTGATTATGGTTAAATCAGAAGAGTTTTTGAAATGGCCAAAAGTTATAAATTACATAGGGCTCCAATATTGGAGGAATACAAAGATAGATAAATAGATAGATAGATAGATAGATAGATAGATAGATAGATAGATAGAAAAACAGGAAAATGAGAACTCAAGAGCTGTGGATGGAAAACATTATTACTATTAGTATTGTACTGTATATACATACTTGTATTCTGTACTAAGCACCCACACAATATTTAACATAAATTGTGAAACGACATCTATACACAAGGGTCCGTAGCCAGGATTTTGATTCGGGGGGTGCTGAGTTTGATTCGGGAGGGGGGGGAGGGGCTGAGAATCTACCCTAGCAAACTTTTTGTATCATTATCCCAATACCCCCATGCATATGGGATATATTGAGCATGGTGATCAGATCATGATATGAATAAACGTAACAGTTCAAATAATGTACCAGTAAGGCCTTCTCGCAGACCACCCTGAGAATTTCAGGGGGGGGGGGCTGAAGCCCCTCAAGCCCCCCCCCCCCCCCCCCCCCCGGCTACATGCCTGTATACACATAATAAAAGTGAAAATGTGTGTGTGTGTGTGTGGCTGGGGTGTCCACTTACACAGACAAACAGCTATAGATCCCACTACTTAGGAGACACCAATGGCTCTCCCTCCAATGACATTGCAGGTTATAGTGAGTGCCATGAACATGTACAAGACCACTTCCAATGCCCCTCCACAAACACCATACTGTCCACCACCCAAGTGAAGGCTTTCATACGGGCACAATTCCATCCTAGATTTTGGGTGTTTCCTCCACCACAGGTATCCCAGTGTTTCTGACTCTCTCTACTGGTGTGGAATTTGCATAATCCCGCCCACTGCCTCTTCCTTAACCCTTTCCTATTCTTTTCTATGCCATGCAGCAAACAGAGGAACCGATCAGCAACTGAACATGCTAGAGAGGTTTGGGGAGAATTCACCATGATTTATAGGACTTGTAGGTACTGGGATGTATAGTTCACCTACAATCAAAGAGCACTCTGAACTCCACCAATGATGAAATTGGACCAAACTTGGCACACAGAACCCCCCGACCAACGGAAAATACTGGAGGTCTTTTGAGGGATTTATTGGAGTTGTAGTTCACCTACATCCACAGCACACTATGAACCCAAACAGTGATGGATCTGAACTAAACTTGGTCTGCATACCCGATATGCCCAAATTTGAATACTGCTGGGTTGTGAGGGGAATTGACCTGAACATTTTGGAGTTGTAGGTACTGGGATTTATAGTTCATCTGCAATCAATGATTACTCTGAACTCCACCAAATATAGAACTGGACCCCACTTGGCACACAGAGCCCCCATGACCAGCAAAACGTATACTGGAGGTCTTTGGGGAAAATTCACCTTGATTTGGGGGAATTGTAGTTCACCTGTACTGTATATATATATTTGTACTGTATATATATACTTGTATTGTGTGTGGTGGAGGCTCCTTCTTTGGAAGCTTTTAAACAAGAGGCTGGATGGCCATCTGTCAGGGGTGATTTGAATGCAATATTCCTGCTTCTTGGCAGGGGGTTGGACTGGATGGCCCATGAGGTCTCTTCCAACTCTTTGATTCTATGATTCTACATCCAGAGAGCACAGTGAACCTAAACACCAATTGAACTGGACCAAACTAGGCACACATATCTGATATGTTGAAATTTGATTACTGGAGGGGTTTGGGGGGAACCGACCTTCCTTTCTGTGAGTTGTAGTTCACCCACAACCAGAGAAACAGTGACCTCCACCCATGATGGACCTGGACCAAATTTGGCACACAGAACCCCCATGACTAACTCAACCTACTGGAGGGGTTGGAGGGGACTGACTTACCATAGTGGGATTTGTAGTTTACCCTACAGCCAGAGAGCATACTGAACCCCACTGAGGATGCATCTAGAGCAAACTTGCCCAACATAACAAACTCTTAAGTACTGATGGAGTTTCTCTGGGTTAACGTGACGTGATATGAGCTGTAGTTCACCCACAACCCTATGTATTTTGTACAATTAAAAAAACTGACTTTTTCAAAAAACCCATGCAACACTGGGTACCCAAGCTAGTTAACTAATAAGATTGAGATGGGCAATTAAAATGGATTGTTTATACAGAATTATATAAATCTGATGTAATACAAAAAGAGTGGAAGCATAATAATGATAAAATGATATAAATACTAACCTACTAACAATTTAAATGAAAATTGTAGCATTTTCTTCGTAGAGAATAATAATAAATAATTTAAGAAAAGATTTTATGTGAAACAATCTGTTAATGAAAAATTAAGATCAATTTTCATTGATGAAGAACCAGAAAAGAATATATGAAGATACAAGAAGATACAACCAACAGACTTACAATTAAAATGGTTAGAATCTTCAATATTTTATGAAATGTGCATTAAAGAAATAGAGATGAAGCCTTTGTTGTAATAATGATAACTTGGTAAAAAAAACTCCCCGTACTCCAACAACCCCACCCTCTTGATTTTCTCCATGTGACATATTAGACATTTGAAAAGATGCAACTAACAAATAACAAAGATGCCCGCCTCACCTGCTTGGTCCTCTTTCAAAGTATTGGAGATGGTGGAGCCGGTCAGCGCCGCCAAGGTGGCCGAGGGAGAGGCCCTATACCTTGAAAGCCGGCTCAGAAGCATCTCGTTGATGCTTTTGGCTGAATCACCCTCTTTCCTCATGAGGATAATGCGCTCCTGGAGAGGGTTGGCCACACAGACGCCATCTTTCATCTAGTCCAATGAAACAAGAAAAGGCCGACAGCTGTAACCACTTGCAGGGGGAAACGCACTTCCAATCTTACCTTTTCTCAGACTAGTAAGACTCATTGGCAGCTTGTACACAGCTGTTGTTCGAAGGTAATCTTGTTGGGAGACACCCCAAGTCCCAGTTTTGGATGAAAGGGCACATATATCATATCTATACACATAATAAAAGTGAAAATATGTATGTATGTGTGTAGCTGGGGTGTCTACCACACAGCAAAGCTCCCACTTCCACAAATAGGTATAGTTCCCACTCCTCAGGAGACACCAAAGGACCTTCCCTCAATAACACTGCAGGTTACAGAGAGTGCCGGAAACAGGTCCAAGAGGCCTGCTAATGTCCTACACCAACACCACCCAAGTGAAGGCTTTCATATGGGGACCATTAATCCTAGATTTTGTGCTTCCTCCACCACAAACATCCCAATGTTTCTTACTCTCTCCATCGGTGTGGAATTTGCATGACCCTGCCCACTTCCTCTCCCATAACCCTTTCCTATGGCATACAGCAAACAAGAGGAACTGATCAGCAACTGAACATACTAGAGAGGTTTGGGGAGAATTCACCATGATTTATAAGAGTTGTAGGTACTAGGATGTATACTTCACCTGCAATCTAAGAGGACTCTGAACACCACCAACGATGGACCTGAACTAACTTGGCACACAGAACCCTCATGACCAACGAAACATACTGGAGGTCTTTGGAGCTATTTAGAGGAGTTGGAGTTCACCTAGATCCAGGGTGCACTATGAACCCAAACAATGATGGATCTGGACTAAACTTAGCTTGCATACCCTATATGCCCAAATTTGAATACTGAAGGGTTGTGAGGGGAATTTACCTGGACATTTTGGAGTTGTAGGTACTGGGATTTATAGTTCACCTGCAATCTAAGAGCATTCTGAACTCTACCAAAGATAGAATTGGACCAAACTTGGCACACAGAGGCCCTGTGACCAGCAAAAAATACTGGAGGTCTTTGGGGGAAATTCACCTTGATTTGGAAGAGTTGTAGTTCACCTACATCCAGAGAGCACAGTGAACCTAAACACTGATGGATCTGAACCAAACTAGGCACATATACCTGATATGCCGAAATCTGATTAATTTGGGGGGGGGGGGGACACACGACAACTGGCCTTCCTTTCTGTGAGTTGTAGTTCACCCACAACCAGAGAAACAGTGACCTCCACCCATGATGGACCTGTACCAAACTTGGCACACAGAATCCCCATGACTAACTCAACCTACTGGAGGGGTTTGAGGAGACTGATTCACCATAATGGGAGTTGTACTTTACCCTACAGCCAGAGAGCACACTGAACCCCACTGATGATGCATTTAGAAAACTTGCCCAACATAACAAAGTACTGACAAAGTTTTTCGGGGTTAACCTGGTATGATGTCAGTTGTAGTTCACCCATTACCTTATGAATTTTGTACAGTTATAAATTTGCCTTGTTCAGTTAACTTGGGCAACGCAAGTTACCCAAGCTAGTCTGTTCGTGTGTGTGCATCAAATACAAGCAAATGAATGAATCAAGTTTCTACACTTTTCGGTGAAAAAAGGGGAGAGGGAAAATAAACAAGAATTAAAATAGGCATACATAAGGATGCACATTCAAGGCGACCCTGGGACAGCTCACAGTGTGACAATCATCATGACTTTGATCATCGTCAACACTTTTAGACTGTCTTTCACTGTTTCAATCGTAACTTTGGGTGGAAAAGGAATATTCAACTGAGCAATAAAACAAAAGAGAAGAGGCCTGTTGGATCTGGACAAACGTCTGCCTAGTCCTGGGATAGAAACTCCCAGGCATTTGTGGCATAACACCTTTCACTCATGTTCTGACATTAAGAAGCTAATACATCCACAAAAATAAGGAAGAGGTAAATCTTAAAACAAATCAACATTGCTTTGGGGTCCTCAGTGGGTAGATGAAGAAATATATGATAGAAGTTGCAGGAGCAACGGTTATTATTATAATATATATTTATATCCCACTTTATCTCTCCCAAAGTGTATCCACGGTTGGAAAGAGCACAGAAAATGGGAAATACAAACATGGTTCAAATATTTAGCAGACTACATGCAGGAGGATTATATGACTGAAAGGAGAATTAAATATACAAACGGACATACTAAAGAGGATATGGACTCAAAATGCTGATAGCCGGAGTAGAAGGGAAAAGGAAATACAACTGAATCAGACTATCTCCATGATCGAACAAATAATATTTATTTTATTTGTTCAAATATTTTTAATATTGTTTATATTTAATTATGTTGTAATGTTTGAGTCCCCTTCAGGAGAGATAAAGCGAGGTCTAATAATAATAATAATAATAATAATAATAATAATAATAATAATAATAATAATAATAATAATAATAGCTCAGATTATTCATTGGAACTTGTGCCACAAATATCATCTGCCTGCAACAAAGAACTGGTGGGATTACAAACCGGAAAGAGTTACAGAGAATGAACATGCCAAACTCCTCTGGGACTTCCAGATTCAGACAGACAGAGTTTTGGAGCATAATTCTCCTGACCTCAGAATTGTGTTAAAAAAACAAAGTATGGATCGTCAATGTCACAATCCCAGGTGACAGCAGGATTGCAGAGAAACAACTGGAAAAGCTGACACAATGTGAGGATTTAAAGATTGAACTGCAAAGACTCTGGCACAAATCAGTAAAGGTGGTCCCAGTGGTGATCGGCACACTGGGTGCAGTGCCTAAAAACCTTGGCCTGCACTTAAACACAATCGGCATTGACAAAATTACCAGCTGCCAGATGCAGAAGGCCACCTTACTGTGATCTGCACACATTATTTGCCGATACAACACACAGTCCTAGACACTTGGGAAGTGTCCGACGTGTGATCCAATTCAACAGCCAGCAGAGTGTCTGTGGACTCATCTTGTTGTGTTTCGAAGAAGAAGAAGAAGAAGAAGAAGAGGAGGAGGAGGAGGAGGAGGAGGAGGAGGAGGAGGAGGAGGAGGAGGAGGAGAGGTAAAACTTTTTCTAGAGGGAGGGAGGTGAGGGCGAGGGGGAAAACAGATATAAGTAGTAGAAAATTATAGAAATGGAAAGAATACAGGTTTCAACACAATGGTATGAGTAAATATGTGGATTTTTTTGGGGTCTTTTTTCCTTTTTTCTGTAATGTGAAATGTTATAGTTTACTTATATAATCTAATTTAAAAAACTAAAACAAAACAAAGAATCAGGTAACCAATGGCTTTTAAAAACAAACTGGTATGACATATCCACAATAGGCCTTGCTAGTCTAAGTTCTGTATTAATTAAATCTCCTGAGTCATTTTCAGCCTAGGATACTCAAGTTATCTCTTCACCGATCTCGAGAAGGGATCACTGTGTCCAGATTGTTTCTGGTGTTACAAAACAGAGAAGGAAAATTAATTTGCAAATGGACACTGCTCTCAAATGAATTGGAAAAAAGCTTGTTCGCTTGATGTGTTTGGTTTGATCGCAATCAGTCCCATTGCCCGGGGAACGGCACTCACCGTGAGTTCAAAGACATCCATGAAGACTGAGTGGCCCTTGGGTGTTTTCTCATTCAAGCTTGCAGGTGACCAGATCCAGTAGAAGTAGGTCCCATCTGAGGAAAGGTGGACCGTGGTCATGGTGCTGCCGATGGGGAAGTGGTCAGCAGGCATTGGGACCAGCTGACATACCTGCCAGGAGAGGGAGGGAGAGTATCAACAAGAAAGAAGGCCAAGCTTGGTTAAGAACTGCAGCTCTGGAATGATCACAAAGCATTCAGTGGTTAACAGGAATCTGGTTGGCATCCTCCTTGGATTTCTCTGTTTTGCAAGGATATGAAGAACAACCTGTTCTGATATTTTTAATAATAATAATAATAATAATAATAATAATTTATTTATATTCCGCCACCATTTCCCGAAGGGACTCGGGGCGGCTCACAAAGCACTCAAGGTGCAAACACACAAAATACAAGTGCATAAACAATAACATAAGAGCAAACAACATAACATTATAAAACCCTACTGGGTAAATCAATACAATGCAACAATAGTTGCAGATATAAAACAAACTGCAATCAATATCAGTCCCATAAAGTTATTATTATCTCTAGGTTCTCAAATCTATTCGTTAAGAATGTCTACACATGGTCAAAGGTTTGTCTGAAAAGCCATGTCTTCAATTGTGTTTGGAAAGCTTGGAGAGTAGGGGCTAGCCTGATCTCTTGCAGGAGGGCATTCCACCACTGAGAAGACCCTCTCTGTATCCCCAACAACCACGCTTGAAATGGAGGTGGGACCAAGAGGAGGGCCTCCCCGGCAGATCTCAGAGGCTGCATTGGTTTGTAGAAGGAGATGCGGTCTCGAAGATAGGTTGGATTTGAACTGTATAGGGCTTTATAGGTGATAACCTGCACTTTGTATTGAGTCTGGAAACCTGTCGATAGCCAGTGGATCTGCTTTAATAGGAGCATCGTATGCTCCCTATAATTAGCCCCTGTTAGTAATCTGGCTGCTGAGCTTCGAACTATTTATTTATTTATTTATTTGCTGTGTTTATATATTGCTTTTCTCACCCCAGGGGGGACTCAAAGAAGTTTAAAACAAATACTGACAAAATTCAATGCCTCACATACATATAAAACCAAATCATAAATCTAAGCAAAACATATAACTATGCATTAAAATCAATTAAGACATTAAACATAAGATAAAACAACATTTAGACATGAGAACATAAAAATTAAAACCACCTAATATAAATACTAAAATCAAATAATCCAAACTCATACATATAACAATGTAATATAATATACCGTATATACTCAAGTACAAGCCAACCTGAATATAAGCTAAGGCACCTAATTTTACCCCAAAAAACTGGGAAAACTTATTGACTCGAGTATAATTGCAGTTTCCAGGCCATCTTCAAAGGAAGCTCCACGTAGAGTGCATTGCAGTAGTCCATTCTAGATGTAATTAAGGCGTGGACCACCATGGCCAAGTCAAGCTTTTCGAGGTACGGTCACAGCTGGTGCACAAGTTTTAACTGTGTGAAGGCCCTCCCAGTCACTACCAACACCTGAGCACAGGTTGCCACCCTATACCCCAATCGGTCTCGTGACTGACCAAGAGGACCTCTGTCTTGTTTGGATTAAGCCTCAGGTTGTTGGCTCTCATCCAGTACATCACAGCTGTCAGGCACTGATCCAGGATCTGGGGAGCTTCCTTGGATTGGGGTAGAAAAAAGTAGTGGAAAAGAGGAAGATCTGCTCAAAACAGATCTTTCTTTGTTCATTTGGCTAGCTAAAATAGAGACAAAAAGGGCTCCCTATTTGCAATTTTTTGTTTATCACATCTACAGAAATGTTTGCAAGGTATGAAAAGACTTCGCTTAGCAAATGTTGAAGCACTTCCCCCTCATATTTCATTTTGTTCCACCATCTCAAAACCGGAAAGGCTTTGTTGCACGATTAAGTAGAAAAGACACAAGGCAGATCACTATTATGTATCCCGCAGAAAGAATCATTTCTTGCTACAGAAAAACCCATATGTGTGATTTCACAGAGACCACAATGAAGAATCATTTATTACCTATTTTTAAGTTAAGATGGGGACAACCTTCCATTATTGGCTTTTTTTTAGACAGATTAAAACAAAACCTACAAATATAAAAAAACCCAAATAAACAAAAACAAAAAACCAACATCACCAGCAACAGATTAAAATACTTTTTCTAGAATAATACTACTACATTCTAAACATAAAAATAACTTCAGACTACAAACAATCTACATAATCTAATCTAAGGGCTTTACATTGAATGTCTGGTGGTTATATTATTTCGGTTTTCTACACTCATTTAGTGAAAAGGAACAACTGGTACATCCTTTCTCATATAGTTAGTTACATACTTCTAGTCCAAAAAAACAGTGATGGCCCCATCTTTACTGAAGAACCACAATAAATGGGGTCTTGTCTTTCTTAATGTTAGTTAGAGATTTATCTTTAATCAATGTAGTAAGTTTATCCATTTTGGCAAGTTTGCTTATTTGTGATGGAATCATTGAGTCTTTTCGTTCTTTGAGCATTGATAATTCTTGCTGCCGTTGTCATGTACAGCAATAACCTTCCACAATTTATATCAAGTTGTTCATCTAACATCCCAAGCAGATGAGAGTTCAGGTTTCATTTCAAATGTGACTTTTAACAATTTGAATTTATTGGCTTTTTGATTTAGAAAAGTGATGTTAAGAGTGACACTTAACAGGAGTAACAAATAGGTAAATAAAATCAGTAGGCAACAAGTGGGAGGCTCGTTGAGTAGTTTTAATAGATATCTGCAGAGTTTCATCTATACTGACGATCCTGCTATCACCACTCAATCAGGGGGTTTGAAATGGTTGAACAGAAGCTCTCCAAAGCTTTAGGTGCTCTTACTGCCTATTACAGGGAAAACCAGCTGATTCTTAATCCATCTAAAATGCAGGCATGTGCTTTCCATCTTAAGAGCAGACAAGCATCTCGAGCTCTAAGGAGTACCTGGGAAGGAATCCCACTAGAGCATTGAAGCACACCAAAATACTTGGGAGTTACCCTGGACAGTGCTCTGACTTAAAAGAAACACTGCTTGATTATCAAGCAAAAAGTGGGCACTAGAAATAATATCATACAAAAGCTGACTGGCACAACCTGGAGATCGCAACCAGACAGAGTTAAGACATCTGCCCTTATGCTTTGCTACTCTGCTGCTGAATATGCATGCCCAGTGTGGAATACATCTCACCACATTAAAACAGTGGATGTGGCTTTTAATGAAACATGCCATATTATCACAGGATGCCTATGTCCTGCACTGCTAGAGAAATTATACTGTTTATTTATTTATTTATTTATTTTATTTCTATACCGCTTTTCTCAGCCCTTAGGCAACTCAAAGCGGTTTACACAACAATGCAAAATATATAAAACAGTATAATGCAATTAAAACAGATTATAACATCAACAATTAACAACAGTATAACAATCATAACGCCTCAACAATAAAATCAGAATCCAGTATTGCACCACCTGACATCCGTTGGGAAGTAGCAGCCAATAAATGAAAGGACCAAGGCAGTGACACCTCCAGCACATCCTAAGTTCGGATATCAGCCAGCAGGCCAACATCTTAAATCAATAAAGAGCCTTTTAAGATGTACAGAGATACTCGCAGGAACATCTCAGCAAGCGAGAGTCCAAAAGTGGCAGGCGAAAACCCGAAACCTCAATCAGTGGCTGAGACTGGATGAGAAGACTGGGTGACCTGGAAGGCGCTTAACAGACTGCACTCTGGCACCACGAGGTGTAGAGCCAATCTTAAGAAATGGGGCTACAAAGTGGAGTTCACGACATGGGAGTGTGGAGAAGAGCAAACCACAGACCACTTACTACAATGCAGCCTGAGCCCTGCCACATGGAGGTCCTTCTTACAGCGACACCGGAGGCACTCAAAGTGGCTAGGTTCTGGTCAAAGGACATTTAGTATAATGCCAAGTTTTTAAACTTTGCTTGTGTTTTTAAATACATTATAACTGTACCTTCAACTCGCTTCTGCCACGATAAATACAAAATAGTTGATATCTGCTTATAATGTGTATAGGTTGTATGTTGTAAATAAGGGCATGTGAGATGTTGTAGTTTAATTTTAGATGAAACAAAAATTGCTTCTGGTTTTTTTATGGTGGTGGTTTTCCTTTGCTCTTGATGGTACTCTTAACGCTGTTTGCTTTTTCTTGTTTTGTAAGCCTGTGCCCTTTCTTTTTTTTCCTGTCCTGTATCTTTGAATACATTAAAAAAAACTGAAACAAAACAGAAAGGCTTTGACTCAGGGAGAGACGCTCTCGCGCATCTTCTCCATCATCTCCCAATAGTCGGCAAAGGCTCCTGTTTGAACCCTAGCAAATCAATGTCAGAATGCACGAAGACAGGTAGACCAAGCTCCTGACGGTTCTGAGGCCATCCTAAACATCATAAGAATACTCTTCCCATTTGAAGAAATGAATCATTTGAAATGTTTGGACCAGCAATGAAACAATATGCAATGTGTAAAAACACTACAATGTTTCCTAAAAAATGCCTTTCAGGCTCCAGCCGGCATAATTGCTATGTCTCAGGTTTCAAGCACAGTAAGAGAAAAAAATAGCCCCAATCCCTGGGAGCCCTTTTCTTCAAATATGTGTACAGCAATTTGGAAAAAAAAACAAAAAAAACAACCCCAAACAAACAAACCACACCTAACGCCTCCTCTAAAACCATGGCCTAATATCTTGAACCACAACAACTAACCCATCCCATGCTAGGCACTTTGGTTTGCTGATGCAGTGAGTTTTAGAACTAGGGCCATGAGTCACAGATTTTAGAAAGCATTTCACATTTTTCTGATCAGCAAACATTATTGATAGTAAATTCCTCTCCTTCAGAGGAAGGCAGCAACTGAATTGTCTCCAAATTATGCAGAGAAAAATATTTACCGTACTTATTGAATTGGAACTATGATCAGGATTTCAATCCTACTTCATGTTTCAAGGCAAACAGAAGTTCAAAGCATCTTCAAAAATCCCAAAGGCAAGCAGAATCACAGATAATATTTTTTGAATTATTTGACAGATCCAACAGTGAGCAAGACTCTCCCCCCCCCCCACCTCCCACTTTACACTTTACCTGAAGGGTATTCTGGTCAATGACTTGGAAAAGGGACTGAGGTTTGTTATCGAAAGAGACAGGCCTGTGGAGGAGTTTGCTGTTGCCGAAAGCAACCCAGCCTGACTCCAGCTCTTCGTTGCGGCAATACACAAAGCCTCTAGGGGTGAAGCAGAAAAAGAATGTTTTACTCCAATTCTCCTTTATTCATTACATCCAGGGAGCGTCACAAGTCTTTTGGGGACAGACTTGTCCCATTCACATGTAAAACAGGGTTGAAGGCAAAAGGAGGGTGCAAAGACGGGACCTTTCCTCCCACAATGTTATTTATTTATTTATTTATTTATTTACTTTGTTTATACCCTGCCTTTCTCACCCCAAATGGGACTCAAAGCGGCTTACAAACTCTGGCAAAAATGCAATGCCACAACATAGTCACAACAATAAAACAAGCCATATCAAATTATAAAACAGTTAAAATATATACACAATTAAACACATTAAAACAGATTAAAAATATACGAAGTGCAGAGTCTTGATTTCCATGCTTATAGATTTACCCATAGTCATTATTCAAACTGTTGAGGTCTCATTCTGTGTTATTTTACTCTCCAAACAGCTGCATACACAGCTAAGTCTTTAGCTTTTTTCTAAAAACTAGGAGGGATAGGGCTAGCCTGATGTCGCTGGGGAGGGAGTTCCACAGCCGAGGGGCCACCACCGAGAAGGCCCTGTCTTTCGTCCCCACCAGTTGCACTTGCAAAGAGATCTTAAAGCTCTATTTGGCTCATAAGGGGATATGTTCAAACAGGTAAGTTGGATCAAAACTGTTTAGGGCTTTATAGGCCAAGGCCAGCACTTTGAATTGAGCCTGGCAGCCAGTAGAGCTGACATATCAGGGGAGTTGTGCGCTGCTCCAAGTAAGGAATTTGGCTGCCGCCTGTTGGACTATTTTGAGCTCCTGCACAGTCTTCAGGGGCAGCCCCACGTAGAGTGCATTGCAGTAGTCTATTCAAGATGTAATAAGAGCGTGGACCATCGTACGGGCGCAACTGGCGCACAAGTTTTAATTGTGCAAATGCTCCCCTGGCCACCATCGAAACCTGGGGTTCCAGGCCCAGCAATGAATCCAAGAGAACTCCCAAGCTGCGAATCTGTGCCTTGAGAGGGGGAGTGTAACCCCGTCCAGTACAGGTTGCAACCCTATACTCTGTTTGACCTTGTGACTGACATGGAGTACCTCTGTCTTGTCTGGATTCAATTTTAATTTGTTCGCCCCCATCCAGACTGTCACAGCTGCCAAGCACCGGTTCAGGACCTGAACAGCCTCCTTAGCAGCAGGTGGAAAAAGGGATAAATTTGGATGATCTCTCCCAGTGGATTCATGTAGATGTTAAACAAAATGGGGGACAATAATGAACCCTGCAGGACCCCACAGGACACAGGCTGCGGTGCTGAGCAGGTGTCCCCCAACAACACCTTCTGAGAACAATCCTCCAGGAAGGACTGGAGTACTGCAGGACAGTGCCTCAAAGCCCCATTCCGTGAGGTGTCCCAGAAGAATACTGTGGTCTACGGTATTGAAGGCTGCTGAGAGGTCCAAGGGAACCAACAGGGACACCCTCTCCTTGTCAAGTTCCCTACGTAGATCATCCACCAAGGAGACCAAGGCTGTTTCAGTTCCATGTCCTCGTCTAAAGCCTGACTGCGACTGATCCAGATAATCAGTTTCTTCCAAGAATACCTAGAGTTGCAAGGCCACCACACATTCCACACGTTCGTGAACTCTGCTGTTTTAAAGCACTTTTGTTTCTGCTCAGTTGACTTTCTGCACGAGGTCCAGGCTGCTGAAAATGCCATGACAGGCAGCAAGGAAGGTGAGGAAGGGGTTGGGTTTCCACTTGCCAGAATACACAGCTATGTCAAAGAAAATCCACTCCTGTTTGGCTTTGGGACCCAAGTTGAAGGGCCATTCTATGCTCACTGTCTGGGCTGGGGCAAGGTGACACTGCTTGGGTTAATCACTGACTAGTCCAAGCACCTGAACCATCCTGTGATATGACAAGAACAAATACAATTTTGCTAGCAAGCGAGTCAAGGGTTTGCTACTTCCCTCGATTGAATTCACCGAGGAAGACAAAAGCTGCTGAAAATGCAAGATGGCTCACTACATTACCTGTATCAACAAGCAAAAGGAATGTGAAGCATGGTGCATCATGGGAGCAGCCTGCCACTGATCACAGACATCGGAGGAAGAGGAAAAATGCACTTCCCAGAGGACTTTAATGGAGAATGACTCACTGGCCTCTTGGATATTGAATTTAGAAACCCAGGATCTTGTTGGCACAAAAAAGCTAGGGAAGCATTTATACTTCCTCCTGGGAATGCCTGATCCGACACATGCCTTTCATTAATTTGTGTATTCTTCACTTTATTGTGTTTTATCTTAAAGGTATAATCCTTTCAGATCTAAAAGGAAACATGTTGTAAGGTCCCTTGTATCCTAGTCTTGGGAGAAAATTGGGATATAATTGAAATCAAACACACATAGACCCTGCCTTGAAACAAGGAAAGAGTCTGCCGAGACAAAGAACACAGACATGCAGATCTGTGTTGAATTTGTCTGGACAGGAAGGAAGGTAAAGATGGAGATCTGTCCCACAAATCTCGGGTCATGTTAACTTTATAGTTGATCATAAAGATCATGGTTTTACCCCATAGTTGTACAAACATCCACACAACCAAACATTACACCGTACACTGAATTAAATCAGGAGCAGCTCAGTTTTGAATTGTTTTCTTGAGCCTAAAAAGTGACAAGGAAATGTACAAAAAGAAAGATGGCACAAAAAGTGTGTACAGCTGAAAACAACAGGCACCAGAAAATAGCTAGCCTCACTACTCTGCTCAGAGAGATCAAAGTGGTCTCGTACGCATCTCCCCAACTCATTTCCTCCCTTATATTTTTAAAGCGAGTAATGCAGACAATATCAAATCATTGGGTGTTTCCTGATGCAATGGCTTACCGTAAGGTACCATGTAACCCCGATCCTAATTTGCTTATTCCTCTGCCAACAGAGTTGGTTGTATAAAGGTAAAGTCCATCTGCTGCAAGGCAACGTCCCAAGTCTGCATCTGTAAGAGGAGGGAAGCAGTCAAAAGGAGACTTGGCCCATTTTACTGGAAGGCCCCCATGACATATTCACTTAGTCTCACAACATCTGGCATGTATCCTTTTAAAAGCAAGGCGATTCTAATGCGCTATATATATATATATATATATATAGAGAGAGAGAGAGAGAGAGAGAGAGAGAGAGAGAGAGGGGAGGGTTTAAAATCACGGAACTCCCACCTTTATTTTCTGAGTTGGAGCCAGGGTTGGCATCAGGCGCTGGCAGCATATCCTCAAAGCCCCAAGATACCATGTGCTTGCCCCCAAGCAGACAAGAAGGAGAGCCCGGTCCTCCTTCCAACAGCAGCAACCTTTGAAGAAGATATAAATCCAAATGTAAATATAGTTGTATTTGAAAATGCTTCAGTGGGATGCATTAATGGACATCACTTGGACACTATAGTTCCCAGGGTCCCCCAGCCAACATGGCCACTGGACATACTGGCTAGAACAATCTGGGAGTTGAAATCCCAGAAATAGCATTTCCAAATTCCTGGCAGTTCACATTAAGATAATTTATTGCAGGTCCCTAACTGGCTTTGCATAAAGGTTGAATTTGGCTTTTTCCACTGTTTACCTACCACTTCCCAGGCTGTGCTGAATCATAGAATAACCTCAACATATTATGGATGCTATAACCGCCTTCCCCAAGTGGAGGCCCTACTGACGCATTGGACTACAGCTCTCAGAATCTGCCAACCAGCTAAGCAGCTGTAAAGCAATGTGGTAAACATCTTTCCCACCTGTATAACACATCGGCCACAGGCAGGGATCCCAAGTCGGTTTGCTTCTGCAGAAGATGGACTGTGTGAACAAATGTTTTCAGCGATCCCCTACGGAAAAGATCAAACAGCAGTTACTCCCTGAAAACTCTGAAAAGCACCAACTGAAAGCATGAGATACTTCTAAACCATGCATTGGCCCTCCGGGTGTTTGGACTTCAGCTCCCACAATTCCTAACAGCCAACTGGCCGTTAGGAATTGTGGGAGTTGAAGTCCCAAACACCCAGAGGGCCGAAGTCTGCCCATGCCTGTTCTAAGCAGTCAATGGTGAAGCAATGCCTCGTCCAGTTAAAAGCTTCCAGGAATTTGCAGACACAACTTCAGCAGTCATTTCAATTTCTGCTTTACCTTACCCCATTCAGCCTAGTACAATTTCGGATTGATACCGTTATATACTAGAGATCCTAATACATAAACCTTGCATAGCCAAAGTTCCCACACATCTTACGGGAATGGTAATACACATTAACTGTTTCCCGAAAACGAACAGTAAAACTATCAAGGGTAGTCTGGCTCAAAAGGGAACTTCAGCACCAGCACTTCATCAGCCAACATGAAAGAGATGAAAGGAAGCCCAACAGCTCCTCCGAGAGCATCTTTCGCAAGCAGAAGAAAAACCAATTCCAGGCCATGAAGCCGCAGAAAACTTAATTAGGAGAAGCTGGCTTGCTTAATATCTTGAGGTGGCATTAAATAAAAGAAGCATGACTTGCAGCTGGTAGTACATGAGACTAACACAAATTGAGGTCTGCAGCTGGCTATGGCATTTTAGGATTGTTTGCTGCTCTACTGTTATGGCCCATCTCATAACTGAGACGGGAAAAAGAAAACTACATCAAACCAACAGAGATCCAGAACAACTGGTTTCCATACAGTCTGCGAGAACACATTGCCTTTTCTTAGACAAGTACTAAGATGAATAAACTGATGTAGGAGGCCGGCTGCTAAAGAAATGCCTACATGTCGCAAAGGGAGACCCACTTTTGCAGGGCTCCAGCCACCCATTTGACAATGGATTCCAAAGATGCGTCTTCTTGGAAAATATAGTTTTGAAATCAGGCACCCAAATAAAAATGACAGTCATTCTGGTTGCTTATTGTATGGAAGCCTTTTGCATCATAAATGCATTATGTTGACATTTCTGTGGTTAGGAAAGGTTAGAGAAACCATTTGCAACCTCTAAAATAACGGCAATTTTACAATGAACATTTTGCATAGCTATTTTTTTGTCAGGTTTCATTTCTAAGGGATGCAAGCTGATGCTGGGACTGTTCAGAAACAGTTACAGGGAGAATTTTCACCAGTCAGTGAACCCAGATGATATCAAGAAAAATGGCTTATGTATAACTTTGGGCACCAAATGACAAAGGCCTGCCACTTTGTTTTTACACACAACGACTTTATATTTGGTTATAACATATACCTACAAATTCACAGTACTGCTGTGGGCACAAGCATGGCACCGCAACACGCCAACTTGGTCATGGGTGGCCTAGAACAAGGCCTCCCTAACTCCTGCTCCCAGACATCTTTCCTCTATTTGGATTCATGGAGAGGACTCCCTCAAGGCAGTCCACCAGAATTTTAACCTCAGCCTGGAACTATCCACGGAACTTGTCCGCATGCAGTTATAAAAGATTTTCCAGAGCTATATTTTTACAGTTAATTTTGTATTGCTGAAGGTGTGAAAAGAGGTCCAGGCTTTGTTGGAACAAAGGGGGAAAATTGCTGTAAGAGTGATATTGCACTATTGTTAAATATTTGGCTTGTCAACAAGGATGAAGTCCACTGATGGCATGTGAAAAGATTAAATGGGAAAAGCCACCTCCACAGAATGACATGAGTGGTAGGGCATGTCAAACTGAAAAGATGAAATTGGGGGAACTTGTGAAAATGATGGATGAAGCATGCCTGGTTTTCCAAATGGGAGTCCTGAATAAAACGCACACAGCTCACACAACTGCCTGGGGGGCTGGTGAAAACCCACAGAATGTCTTCTATTGGTGAAGTGAGCCTCGAGCTGTGTGGGTCACTGCCCTTACCTTGCTTTAGTAGTAAAGCAATTAGTTATTTTCAAAACCAGAAGTGAAGGATTGAGAAAATGGCGTCACATAGCATCAGGAGGACTCTGGGCACAGAAAAATGCATTTCCCCTATCGTAACTGAAAAAGATGTAGAATAAGGGCCCACTCCACAAACATGGTACCATATGCCCTTCAGCTGTCATGTCAACACCCTATGGAAGCCTGTGGTTTGTATTTTTACAGTCGACTTGGGATTTTTGATATGTGAGGAGGAGGGGGAGGAAAAATCAAGAACTGAATATGACTGTGATCAGTCAAACTCAGTTTGAGTGAACATTTCTTTGTCCAGTAAACCTGTACAAATGTTAATGACTTCTTCTGAGAAATTTCTGTGGAAATCCCAACAGGGAGCCCTGATCTGATGCAATGGTCCAGCTCTTAGAGCAGACCTGGAGTGAAAGTGCTGCCATGACTGCCTCTGTGCCTCCATCCATGGCAGCCAGGCCAAGCACTTCTCCCTGCACACACACCCCAGTATTTTCTGCTGCTGCTTAGTACAGGCCCCCAGCAATTAAATGATGAAAACCATCCTCATTCCTCCCTGCATCTCTTACCTTGCACAAGCCAAGGCAACAAGGGCGGCGGCAGCGTTTTCTTTTTGCTTGTGTGGAATCTGTTGGCCCGAGGCAGATGTTTCCTCCAACCAGGAGCAGAGCAAGGATTCAATGCCGTTAAGACAGTCCACTGGCTCCTTAGTCAAGCTCAAGGGCTGGCAGTCACGAAGGCAAGTCAAGAGCACCTCTGCGGTTATGTTACATAAGGAAGGGTCGGTTCTACTTTGGGATTCAATAAGGGGAAAGACCAGGAGGAGGCCCATGCGGGAGGTGAAAGGCGCCTGCTCGGGTTGCTGCAGCAGGCCCTGCCGCTTGAGCAAGGCCAGAGCTTCCTCATCTCCGGAGCTCTCCCGCTCATGCTGTTCCTCCAAGGCAAGCTGGCGCTGGGCATTCCAGAGTCCACGCAGGGCATTCAAGCGGTATTCCAGCAGGCGGGCATAAGCGTTGCTCTGGTTGCCACAAACGGAACGCAGGCGCTCCGACAGTTCGGTGGGATTCTTGGTTTCAAAGGTTAAGATCTAAAGAAGAAGGGAGACAATGTGACATCACTGGTTTGCTTTGAATAGAGGCCTTCAAGCCATGGTATACTCTTACCTCCTGTAACCTGTACTTACTTATGATACTAAGGAGCTGCATAAGACAATAGGCTTCAGATAACAGACAAATCTGGTATTCTAAACTCATAATTGAGGAGTGACAGATTAAGTTGGGATCTTGAGCCAAGCTTGGGTGATAGGACTTTCTCTCTCTGCACGCTACGACTTTAGCTGTGAGGTTTAAAGCTACATTTTCAGTCTACTCTTCAGGGTATCTTTCATCCCTTGGGCACTCAAGAGGAAGAAATAATATCACATCCTTTCTTCCTACAGAGAACAAGCAGTGCCACTTGAAAGACAGAGAAATAAGTGCAGAAGAACCACCGTCAGCAGTTCTTCCCTCGTTTAATTAGCTGGTCTCTCTTTTTGAAGAAACCGTTCTGGCTAAGCACCTTTACTGGAAGAGCTCCGTCACACAAATGCACATAACAATAGCAACAGATGCCGCAGATGATCCACTCCCCAGATTCACTTTGCTGAACACCAAGATCCGACTTTGACCTCTCCAGTGGAAAGACAGAATGACCTGTCCTGCTCTTTGCGCAAACCAGACTCATTTTCCGCTAACAACCAGATATCATTCATGAGCTTCACCATTGTGCCTTAACTGCTTCACAGCTGAAAGTAGGATTTTTTTCCCTACTGTTGATTCCCTCACCGCCTCTTTCTTCTGATCAAGGAACAGCATGGAACTTATGCCGACAACAGCACTTTGCTTAAGCATTTATGATACATTTGTGCTGCACAAAGGCACCGTTAAAGTCAAATCCCCATCTGGGTGCATCACGAAGTTGGGATAAGATTACATCCTGCTCATAATGGGTGTCTAATATTCCTGAATTTACAACCCTTCTGCTTTTTTTACTTTTTTCAGATGAGGTTCCATGACATGCAATACCATGGATCCCCCCCCCCCTTTAAACAATTTTAAATGGCATTTGGGGCTATTTTTGAAATAATTTTCAAGGACAAAATTCAAAATGCAAGAAACAGGATTACCCAGAATGAATTTCAAGGATAATTAACCACACAACATCAGGAGGCATACACTTCTTGGGAAGTGTGACAAGTATTGATTCAGCAGGGTCCAGAATTCACAACTGCTTTGTTAGAAATAAAAAAAGCCATTAGGCTTTTGGTGTTACCGATTTTGAGTGGCACTTTATGGCCATTTTTAAAAAGAAAAAGCCTGCAAAATGGTGAACAATGGCACACACAGGTGACTGTCCTATAAGCCACTCTGTAAATATAAAGATAGTAAAGCAGAGACTATCTGCATGCAAGATTTCAATTGGACAGAACTCTATCAGGCACATAGAAATTTCAGCTTCATAATAGTTCAAGTCATTAAAAATGCTATCACCTGGTGGGAAAATGTGATGGAAAAATTACGAAGTTTCTATTCCATTTCACATTTTAATTAAAGCAACAGTTAGGAACCTTTTAGCTCTGGTGCACTAAATTAGCAGTGTTTGGGGTCCATCCTGATATGAGCCAAGCAGCCATTGCTAGCTTTGCAAGAAGTGGTCCAAAGTAAAACGATTCCCTGGTGACTGAAACACAGCCCAATTAGTGGTATATATTGTGTGTAGCTTTAGGCTACACGGGAAAAAAGAAAAGTTTCACTGACTCACTTTACCATAAAAAGAGGGGGAGTCTAGGATGAATTTGTGGGGAAATGAAAAGAAAGTCCTTTCTCATCACAGCCAAATTTTGACAGAAGCAACATGGGAAAGTCAATGTTAGGCATGCATTGTCTTAGACAAATATGAGACACAGCGACATCACAAAAGGGAATAGTCCGGTTGCAAGATGCAGAATTCATGGGACAACTGACACTCCTCCTCAAGGTTTACCTGCAATTGACTGTGCAGTCATTGGGACAACAATCCAGAGAATGCCCAAGATACTCTTCTTTCAATCTGACACAATAACCAGCCTTTGCAGCAATGGCAAATCAGTATCCCACCCATGAAGTCACCCTGGGGCACACTTTTTTTAGATGTTTCAAAACCAAAGGCATGCTGCATAATTCAAGTCTGCTCTCAGCCTAACCTGGAAAGAGCAGCAACTTACTAAGAGGCATATTTTTAGAACAGGGCCTAGGAAGCCGGAATTGCAACTCTCCAGGAATGATAATGCACATCAAGATCCATCATGAGATAACTCAAAAAGGAGGCTGGGGCATGTAAGCAAGTGGCCTCTATCAAGAAGAGAGGAACCTCCTTTCCTCATTCCTTCATAATGCACTCCAAATGACAAAGCATATTCATACTGAGAGTGAGATAACAATCCTTACAGCGAGGTAGCAATTGTTCCCAGAAGCAGACCTGACCTTCTCAACATCTCTTTTTTATTATTATTGAAAGAAGGGGCATGTCTGCATTTCATTCAAGGGGAAGCTTTACCCTGAGATAGAAGCCATTCTGGATGCTGTTGAGGGGGCAGAGCCATTTCTCTGGGGCACTGGTAAGATCCCAGGCCCAGCAATGGAGGAGACTACGCTATGCCCAAACATCTGAGTGAACCTACACTGCAAAAGGTGGCAGCTCTATGGAGCCCATGCTTGTGGGGACAATGCCATCAATGCACAGAGCAGAATCCTTTGGAGAAGAACAAAGGACAGGACTTTAAGACTGAGTATGAATATCCCTATTTGATATGAGTGGAATAGTTACTTTTCTGCATTTAGACAGTGTGAAAAAGCTGTTTACGAAGCTTCTCTCCATCTGAAAAGTGATATGTCATGGCACGGGAAGACTGCTCTCCCTCTGGATGCCCAGAAGTTCCTGCATAGCTGTTGGAAACCAGGCCAAAGCCTCAGTGCCACTTACTGACCATGCCATGCAATGGAAAGCCAATTGAATGCACCAGATGAGTTGAACTGGAATCCACTCACCTCTCCTGACCTAACCAACTTTATACAGCTGTCGCAATGAGAAAGGGTGCATGAGGGGCAGCCAGTCCATTATCCTGAACTCCTTGGACAAAGGACAATATTGTTCAATAATAACATGCATTTAAAAGACTGTATTCATGTCAAACTATTTGAAACATTTCCCCAAATGTTAAATATATCTGTTCTTTTTATATTTATATTTTTGAAAAGTGTGACATAGCCATTTTTTTGTCGATATCTGCATGAAGTGAACTCCCACCTTCCACAATGATCAGGTCATGTTTCTCTTCAACCTGGTTTCTATGAGGAAATCTCTCTTCCTGCTTTTGCCCAAGACCATTCCTGCATGTGTCTGCACCCTTCTGCAAGGGCCATTTAGTCATTCAACACAACCACCTCTCAATTAGGTGGTAATGAAATAATGGGTGCGATGACGCCCTGTCACCCAAAAAAAAGGAATTACAATGAGGCCGGGGTAGGAAGCATCACTTCCTCTCTGTCTATCTTGTTTGACTGCCCAGGTGAATCACACGGGGAACTGCTTTGAGTCCCCTTTGGGGGAGATAAAGCAGTGTATAAATAAATATAATACTAACAATAGAAGCAAACAAGAGATTTTGAGGAATAGGCAGCTGAGGAAACAACCAGACAGCACCTGACAGATAGAATCATAGAGTTGGAAGAGACTTCATGGGCCATTCAGTCCAACCCCCTGCCAAGAAGCAGCAAAATTGCATTCAAAGATCCCTGACAGATGACCATCCAGTCTCTGCTTAAAAGCCTCCAAAGAAGGAGCCTCCACCACAGACAGCTGGTTAGAACAACATTTAAGGCAGTAGAAAGAGCTGGTCTTCATGAACATAGGTAGAACATATTCAGCTACTCCTTGGACAGCTTTGCATCCTTTCTATGATTATTTAAGATAGCTAGGAGGTACTCAGTGGAGCTACTTAGCTAGCTTGTCCTTCTCTTTTAAGACCACATCCAATCCAAACAGTTCTGTAGATCTAGTGTGCATACAAAGCTTCCAAGGAACAAGGACTCTCTTGTCCACTTTAATGTTGAAACAGCTCTGTGCGCTTATAAAAACCCTCCCTAGAAAAGAGTGACACAGTCCTTGCTTGCATGGGATGTCATGTATAGAATGACACCCCAGCAGTTCTTTGTAGAGACTCGGCAAAATCTCCAGCATGTATCAGCATGGCAGAAACGCCGAGCTGTGATTCTTAGGGCATAGATGGGGGGCCTAACAGACGCATTGAGCTCTTCCAAGGGATGGCTATGTTCAAGCCTGGGCATCGGGAACACAGTGACCACCTCTGGGATGCCCATCATCCAGTGCTCAGCAGAATAGGCAACACACTGCAGATCACATGCCAGAGGCGAGCAGGCTCACCTGACAACCCGAGCAATATTTCAATAGGAGCTGTACACAAAGCTGTGCCACTTCCTGGCTCTGAACACACAAACACAACACAGAAGAACAGCATTCCCGAGAGTGCATAGGTGTGTGTGTGTATATATCCCTATCCACTCATTACTTACTTAATAGGAAAAGTATGACTTTTCTGAACTGTGGAAAACTGAGCAGCCAGATGTTTTGAGGGACATCTTCAAACTCCACAAAGGAGCCTAATGGGGTTACTGCTGTGGAGCAGACCTGAAAAGGCTTCCTCTCTGGCTAACCTGAGAAAGCAAGATCTCCAAGGCTGCTCAAAGGATCCAAACTAGGCTCGCATTGGGACAGGTCCAAATCAAAGTGAAGGGTGTTTGTTTTCCCAACTATGTGATTATTATACACATTGTGTAACATATGGAAGAGTTTCTGGAAAAAACAAACAGAAGACCTCACAACCTCTGAGGATGCCTGCCATAGATGCAGGCGAAACATCAGGAGAGAATGCATCTAGAACATGGCCATATATCCCGAAAAACCTACAACAACCCAGTGATTCCGGCCATGAAAGCTTTCGACGATACATCAAACAGAAGTTGTTTGGGGTCCTACAACAAAACAAAAGCA